AATATTTTGTTTTGTTTTTAGTGCATTTTGTTTTGTTTTTAGTGTATTTTGTTTGGAAGTCGGTTTTGTTTTTTTATTAAAAAGTTTTGTTTGCTTAAAATTAGTTAGTTAAGTTATTATTAGTAAATTAATGTAAGTTATGTTTACTTGGTAAAGTATAAATTAAGATCCAATACTAGTTACTAAACTTACACGCTAGTCTTGGATTGAATTTCTTGCCAAAGTAAACTTTTATTTAATATCGGTGAAATAAATTCGATAGTGTAAATAAATGGCAACAATTTTATTAGTTACTATTATATTTACGTTTTCTACTAAAATGTCTGAGTCACATTAGATTTGGTGTAGTTTTTTGTAAGTAGATGAAAAAAATCCTTTCTTTTATAGTCATAGTATTTGCCTTTCGAGATTGAAAAAGCGACGTCGGTATGCGTAATCGTATAAATATCAGCTAGAGAGAGCGTATTCAACTGGCAAAGACTGCGTCATTCGGCGATCTTGACTTGGTAACGAAAAAGTGAAACCGATGTTGTATGTAACCCACCTTCTTAGTATAAACATTAACTTACTCTTGTATCTTTAAAGTGTTATAAGATACGAGTTTGATATTTTTTAGTTAATTTACTGATTAATTTGAAATAGAAACAGTGAAATTAAACTTTACGGCGTTCGGAAATCTTAGATTATTTTGAAAGCTTTTTGATATCTATCCAAAGCTTTAAGCGTGTGTTTCTATTATTGTAATAGTTTAGTGTTTGCTATTACGATATGAAAGGGGTTTTGGTTTTGAGTTGTGGGTCAAATTGAAGTTCAATTATCTACATCATGTTGTTTGAATTATGTATTGTGATTATTTAAAGGTTATATAAATATATGAACTACTTTTACAATATTGTATTTATTATTTCCTGTTAAGTGAGATTCTTTTTGTAATGCCAAAATACGGTTAGACGACACACATTGTTTGCGTATTGCTATTATAGTTATTCCGAACCAAATAATTGATGCTTCGAGGTATATAATTATGTTAAATGTCCTGTATTCATTTTATTTTTACTGTTGCTTTTGGTTTGAATATGTTCCGGTTTAAAATATTTAGTACTTAAAATTACAATGTTATCCGAATGCATAAAAATACTTCATCAATTTCAATTAAGTTAAATCATATAAGTGACTTCTCACACCTTTTAAAAATAATAAGAATTCTTAATGCATCACAACCTGTGACCAACATACTGACACAGTATTTACTTGGTCACTCCACTTCGGACGATTGGAAGTAGGCCGTCTTAACTTAATCGTATCTTATAAACATAGTTTTCTTGACACTGATATTGAAATATACACTCGCACAGTAATGTACCTCATAGTAAATACCTAAGTCCATCGAGGATATTAATGGTCCAAGACATTATTAATTTTTTCAAAAAAAATAATCGCAAAACCATTGCCAATATCGTCGTGTCATGGACTCGATTTAAAAATACATTAGGCTCACCTTAAAACTTATAACACTAGTTCCTCATGGAGTAACGTCCGAGTGCAGAGAAAAGTAAACGCACGAAGTAGCGATCAGTGAGCGAACAATAACATTTCACTCGTTTTCGCGTAGAACAAACAACGTTAAAAAAATGTCGCATTCACATACTAATTCAAAGAGAAACCGCGAGGTTCGTTACGCGCACTCCGACGGTGGTGTGGCAGGGCACTGAGGACCGAGGCTTTTCCGCCGATGCGAGCGTGTGGCGGACTGGCGGGTGAGGTGGGCGAGAGAGCGCCGGGCAAATGCTGAGCGCGGAGCTGTGACAACCACACGCGACGCGCGCAGTGAGAGTTGTGCCGCCATCCGCCGCACGGTCGCCGGTTGGCGTCCGCTGGCGTCCGTCCGCAACCGCACTCGCCGGTCGCCGGTCGCCGGCCGCAGCGGCTTTTGCACGCCGCCACCTGCCAGCTCCCAGTATCCCACCTAGGGCCCTCAACGCACAGGTGAATGAGGCATTGTTTACATACTTCATTTTGAGATGTCATCCTAAGCATTGTCGATATCATTAAACTTTGTTTACACTCATCACTATATCAAATTATCATTTATGTTCGCTTCAATTTAATAGATTAACTTTTAGTAATTAACACTTATAATATTAAGTTTTATATATTTTTAAAAAACTACTAATTTGTACCTTAAATAGTGTATTAATGAAATAATTTAAAATAATGTAGCTTAATATTTTAATTTATAAAAATGTTCCAAATGCGACTACTCAAAGATTTTATTACGCCGCATAGACGAAGAAGTGGCTACGAGCTACGACTGCATTAAATATAACTAGAGCGCCCAAGGCACCTTTAGCTTTAAAAAAGTTTAACCAAAGACTTTCAAGGCCGAAAAATAAAAGAAAAACAAGTACAGGAATATTAAAGTAATAGCGTAGGGTTCGCATGACATTATAATTTATAATTGTATGATTTTGCACCTTAAATTTTCTTTTGTAAACACACGACTTCAATAAAATGTAACTACAAATTGTAGCAAGTGATTCTATGAAACTAAAATGAAAATTGTGTTTAATCAAACAACTACATTAGTTACATTACTTTAGTGATTTTAAAAAAGTCAATAGTTTTATGAGAAAATATTTCTAGAATCTAGAAGGTCCGTTCATTTTATGAAAATTGACAAAGAAGAGATGAGATCTTGACATACAAAGGTAACATCGCTATTGCGCTTCACCTTGCGCGTCGGGCGGTACGACTCGTTAGCCCAGACCTTACACATACTGGATGAAACTAGATATCAGTCATTAATATATCAATCCACTTTAGAACATCCAATTGGCACGTCTGATAATACCATTTTTTACGTTACGAAAAGAAACGTAAGGAGTTATCTTATTTCAAATATGTCGCACCGTGGAGGATCAAAGAAATATTTTCCCTCAAAATGAAACTTTTTAAAAATAGATCAGATAACTTTGACCATACATACAAGTTGCAACAAATAGCTTCAGTTTTAACTGAACTATCTAATTGTACAGTTTAAACTTATGCGTGAAGGGATATTTATTTATTTATTTATTTAGCTTTATATACATTCCATACAATTACTTTATGTTTTATTATAGACTTATATATTATTTTTTTATTTTTAATGTTTGTATGGATCCCTGATGGGTAAAAGTCTCCTCCAACTTTGACCAGTGCTCTCTGTCCTTCGCCACGTCCAGCCAACCCGAACCCGCCACTGCCGCGATGTCGTCTGACCATCTCGCGCACGGCGTGAAGGGATATTGTACAGTTTAACTGTAGCAGTATTAACATTTAAAAGTCCAAATGTTCACTGCAGCTGCTACGCTATCTAAACAATGCGGGTGATATAAAGTCATGCTGTAAACTAATAAAACGCATATAAGACCAATTAAAAAGACAAATTATACCAACATGACTGAACTCAGTCAAAGATTTTCGCAGTAAAAGCTTTCGCCATCTCACTTCTTACTAATATTATAAATATGAAAGTTTAGATGGATGTGTAGATAGACGTATGTTTGTTGAAGTTTGTAGCCTAAACGGCTAAACGGATTTCGATGAAACTTGATATAAATGTAGAGGACAGTTTGGAAGAACACATAGGCTATTCTCTTTTGTTTTTTTTTTTCATTCCACGCGGACGGAGTCGCGGGCGAAAGCAAGTCTTTCTATAAATTAACAATACTTTAGTGTGCGAACATTTTCATTTAATAAGTAGACTTTAAGATTAGTTTTGGGCATCTACCACTACATTGTGAAATGTTTAAATTGTTTTCGTAGTGTTTTCCACAGGTTCAGATATTAAACCGCAATATTCTAACAGAGTGTAGTTTAGTTTACCGAGATCGCAACATGATCTGCAGGTAAAATTGTGGTCCGAGTGGAAAGTAGTATCGATTAATAGAAACAACAAATATGTTGTTTCACTACTTACTAATATAAAGTAATATACACTTAACATTAATACATCATATTAAAATGTTGTATGTACAGTGTAAACTAAATATAAAATTAATCTTCTATACTTTTCGTAAGCGCCAATAATTACATTGTAACTCAATGAAAAATTTAGTGGGATACTTTCGAACTACCGCTAAACGTAAAATACTAACTTGCGGTATGTAGCGATGCATTTGCGAATTAGCTTGCGGAACAATGACTCAGTTATTTATATGGCAATTATAGTCGGTTGCTTTCAACCTGTTCTGCATTCGACACTTATTAGGTTTACGAGGGTACTTCAACGAACAGCTGTCCATTCAGTTGAATAAAAACGTGGCGCGTGTTACTCTTGGCTGGGCACGGGCCTTGGCCGCTAACCATGTTGTAGTCAACCCCGTTATCACGTCCTTGTCATACAAGGGTATTTTTACGTAAATCCATCTCTTTTCTCCATGTGTTACGGTACTCGGGGTGGTGTTGTGTTGGTGCAAAGTTGTTTAGACGTCGTCAACGGCAACGCAGTCCATACTCGACACGCGGCTGCACACAACCCGCTCGTGCACCAATAGTTCCAACCGACAATATTTTTAAATTAAATTAATATTTTTTTTAGTGTTACGTAATATTGTCCTGTGATTATCACAAGTAAGTTCTTTCATTCATTATTTATGTAATTGTCGATTTGTGTATAACTCAGTGTAAGAGGTAAATCATGATTTAATTCAACCCACTATAAAGTCGAGGTCGTATATTTTATGAAAAAGATCAACTAGATGGATTGACATCATGAATTTTCTGAAACTAACTTAAAGTGGAATTAACTTAATCTATCGATGTGTGCGTGTGTTTTTAAAAATACTAAATACATAATTACAGCGGACTTGGGCTTGGTACCTACTGTTATGTTTATCTAAAAATTAATGTTTCAGTAACTTAACTTACAGTTAACATTCAGTGTCTCATTTTAAACTTTAAATGACTGCATAAGTAATTGTATCATTGAATCAATTTATTGAAATTGCATACGAGATTTTTATTTTTTGCCGAAAGACGCGACCGTGGATTATTAGTAGATTTTAGACCCACGTACAACAATCTTACGAGAACTTAATGGCATTGCATGACAAGGTTAATATTTAAGGAAATAATTTTAGTATTTATTGTATTGATACTTTTTTTAAACAGAATTTAATAAATAATACACATATCATATCTTAGTTCCAAACGAGATTAATCGGCCCAGTAGAATTTTATACTAACTAAATTACTGTCATTAAATATTAACAAACGTATTTAGAATTAACGGAGCAATAAAGGTAATTAGATATACAAATGGTAACTGGAGAACTAATAAACGTTACGACTATGGTCCCCTAACATAACCATCCTTACTCACTTAGGGATACGGTTTCCAAAGTAATTAAAATTGTATTCACTGGACTTAAATTTCAATTAAGTATTACAAATATAAGCGAGGATATATTTACATTTATTTATCAAAAAGAAACCTGTTAAAATAATTTGTAGCGCTAAAAGATTGTAAATATCAGATATTTAATTTCATTACGATACTTTCACTTTGGTTTTTAAAAGTATCGATTACGTAGTTGAATCAGTGTTCGTCGCTAAATCTATTAAATTTATGGTCAAATATCAGTTCACTAATGGTTTACATTTGTTAGTATTTAATATGTGGGTAAGTATATTAACAAATGTAAGTTTATTATAATCATACATGATAATTACGTACAATAATTCTGATGGTCCCTTGTGCTTTTGCGCGCATTGTATATTGTAGTAAAGTGACTGCAATTATTGAAATTACGTATATTTAGGTTAAATGTATATTACCAGGGTATATCTACTAATATATAGACGCTAATAATTATTACATCCAAAAGCGGTTCAAAAATGTAATAAGAGTTTTCTTTTTCAGATGCCCCATAAAATATTTGCTATGCTAAGGAGATGACAATATTCTTGTTGAAAACAAGATGCCATTATTGAACAACAACGAAACCAATTTGCCTACAACAAGTTACGTTGTTGATAATTCTAGTTGTAATTTAGAATCGTTGTATTGCTCACATCTTTGGTCCAACAGCAGTTTAAGAAGAACAATCATAAACGCACCAGTTACAGATAACAAAATAACTAAATACTGCTCATCGTGTAGAGGTAAGATAAGAAATTATAAATTGAAGTCTGCAAATGAAAGTTTTACCCCAAAATCATATTCTACTCCGAGAGAGAAATTTAGTTTAAGGCGAACGGAATCGAAATTAGATGACTTAGAAAAAATAACCAGCTGTGATGAAGGTAGTTTAGCCAGATATTTAAGCGAGAACGAAATTGTCAATTCAAATAAAACGATTCCAACAATATCTGAAGATATTGACTCTAGTATACAACATAAATTTAGATGTATCTCGTATGATACCAATATCTCTACAGGACAAGGAAGATTAAGAAAAAGTCTAAAAGAAATCGGCTGCTTCGTAGACTTGACTCAAAGTTCTATAAAGAAAAGAACGCAATTACAAGTGTGCTCAATAAGCATAATGATACTAGCAATCGTTATAATTAGTTTAATTTTAGTAAACTTTACGTCACATCATGAAACACAAGCCACCAATATCATTAGTACAAACGCAGTGCCAACAAAAAATATAGATTTAAACGAAGTTACTTCAGCGACTGCCAGTATTTATTCAGAGTTGCCTTTGACTGCCACTGTTAGAAGCACAGAAATTGACACAACACTTGCACCATTTACGACAACTGCAAAAAATATATCTTTCTTATCAAATCTTTTAACAAAAATTCGAAAGAATATCAAGACGTATCCCAAAGAAGGGAATAAAACTCAACCTAGTTTTAAGATAAACAAAGACTCGATGACTGGAGGAAATATCACACAAAAATTTTGCGAGTGCCAAAAATCCGAAGTGTGTATGTTAGAAGAAACAAGTGGAACATCGGTTTGTCAAATAGCAATAGATCCCGAAGATCCAACAGGTGCCGTATGTTTAATAAATTTTACTTATTGTATCATTATTTAGTTTTGATTCTCTCTCAATTTTTAATTGATTCAGGATCCATCAACCGATTGATTTTGAAGAATGATTCATTGTTTTATTAGTATTTTTCCCACAGTGTCTATTCTCTGTGCACCATTCCAGACAGTAAGTTCTGTTTCATATTTCAAATTTTGTTAAACGGTTTTTGAGAGACATACTAACAAACAATCATGCATCTAAACTTTCGCATTCATATTATTAGTAGTTAGATTTGCTTACTCCGCCTGTAATTCTAACAATCTGTTGCTCTTTATGGAGGCAAGTGTAACACGAGTATGTTGTTAATTGTTCCAGGTTGCGGTGGGCTGTGCGCACTGGAGACGGAGGCGTGCCATCTGGTGGATAAGGCGCGTGGCGTGCGGGTATGCCGGCCGCTGAGCGCGGTGGTATGTGCTGCGCGTCAGTGGCGGTGCAAGAACGGCTTCTGTGTATCTGAGCACGCCCACTGCAATGGCTCTATTGAATGCTACGACCGCTCCGATGAAATGCATTGTGGTGAGCTCCCTAAAATTGGTCCTTTATTTTTTTTTTACGATATTACTAATGTTATAGTGGCCTAAAATGAATTTTACTTTGCAGATCTTGTTTTGCATTTTTTTAATGTGGGATAAACAATATAAAGATTGAAAGTGAAACATTCAATGAAACATAAAAATATTTTCCAGATTGCGACCTAACAAAAGAGTTTCGGTGCGGCCAGTCTATATCATGCTTTCCTAAAGCCAAGCTCTGCGACGGAGCCATCGATTGCTGGGACGGCCTCGACGAAATAAACTGCACTCCAGGTATCTACTTGTGCAGCGAAATATTTATATTAGTTACTTATAACGTAATCTTAAAGTTACAAATCATTGTTTGACAACGTATTCCACTTTGACATAAAATCGGTACTTGAGATTAAAATTTAAAAAATTAAATCCACCTGGGTCTTTCGTTACTAATTACGATAGTCATATTTTGGGAGATAATAATTTTTCTTGCTAATTAAATCTAAAAACACTGCTATTTTAGAATCCTGAATCAACATCTAAATCCATCTCCTAGAATAATAAATTTTTCGTCTCTTGACCCAGAAAGCCGGGTATAAATGAATGTAAATCGTACTTATACCGTTCAGCTGCTCACGAAACTAGGTTACGAATGCGCTCATTGAGACCTAACGGACCTCCCTACGCTACTTCCTCTATATTCGAATGTCGTTCGATATTAAGTTGACAATTTTAATATTTATATTAACTTAAAAAGGATCAATTTGAACAACTTCGGTTTAACTTGTTTTTAATTAATGAAATAAAAGTCATCGTATTCTAGTCATGGAAATGTTAACCCTTTGTAAGATTCATTGTAAAAATTATCATAGAGTTAAAAAGTGTTAAGATCTAATTAAGTATAAAAGTACCGTTCAAGTTGCACCTGAAATGGATTAATTGCTGCCTTACCTTAAATCTAAATATAACCAATAAAATATTTTAATTCCAGAATGTCCAGACTATCAATTCACGTGCACGAATGGAGAATGCATAACATCTTCGCGTTTCTGTGACGGGTTAGCAGATTGCAGCGACCATAGCGACGAGCCCACTGGCTGCGACGGAGGCTGTAATGCTCACGAAATACGTTGCTCAAACAAACGGTGCATCCCTAGACTACTACGATGCGATGGCCGTGACGATTGCGGAGATAATAGTGATGAACTTCATTGTCCTTAGATAAAGATCTACATTCTCGGGTACATGCTATATTGTCCAGTTTAGACTAATAGTGAATAAGAATAATCTAAATTGGGCATAATGCATACAATGCTCAGTAATTGAACTCATTCAGACAATCTGCAACGTATGTGTTGTGTACTTTGATTTCGAGTACCATTGTTATCAAGACTAGTGACATTGTCGCAATAAATGTAAAGATATAATGTTGATGTAAATTAATCGATTTTTAATGTAACTTATAGGAGATGCCCTCTTGATATTTATAAAGTAATATTAAATAGTATTGTACTTTGAATGAATTAAGGTGGTACATGCCGTGGAAACCCTTATTAAGAGGTCGATCTGTCGTCTAAATGGTCTATTATTTTTATACTAATTAATATAAATTTAAGCGAGATTTTAAATATTTACGGGTATTGTGAGTTCAAGAAATATAAAACAGTTTTAGGATTATTAAATTGTTTATTACCCACCGCACATCGAAAACAAACTGTATAAGTGTTTCTTGGGACTTGGGCCAAATGTCTCTTAATTAATTACTGGGGTTTTGTTATTTTTAAAAATAAAGATTGTGATTTTTAATATGTTTTTCACTGTATAACGAAAATGAAAACTCATTGAATTGCTAAAACGAACATACGAAATCAATCGATTTGTTGCGATGGCGTTGATATTTCTTGCAATCTAACAATTTCACTAAACACAACATGAATCTTGTTTCTGAAATCAAATTAAATATTGGCACGATTGACCTGTGTAAATGATTTTTTTTTAGTTTTTTCATAAACATAACATTACTGTATACTGGCAACACATTTTGACATTGTTTAGTTTTTATTTCTCTTTCTTTTTTAATCTGTGTATGAAAGGTTGGCGTTACGTTACGTCGTTTACGATTTACTTTATAGGCACAAAAGTTATATTAAAATATCACAAATTGTAGTTTTAAATAAATAGAAATAAATTTAAAAATGGCTGACAGTGATGATGAGTATGATCGGAAAAGACGCGATAAATTTCGTGGCGAAAGAGGAACTGCCGAAGGAAGCAGTTATCGGAGTAGTGATCGGAGGGAAGAAAGAAGCCGTGGTCGAGAAGAATGGCCAGAAAGGTAAATATTTACTTAATTACCTTGTTAAGAATTCCTAGTTTCTCCGTCCTTCCTATAGCTAGAAAGATTTTCTGTCCTATTATCAAAATAACCTTTTCAGATCCCAACCTCACTCTCTCAAACATCCTGATGTCCTAGTTCAAACTTCTAAACCTACCAAACGTTCTATTGCATTAGTTGGAAGGTATAACAGTTTTCATTATTTAAAATGTTGGTTTGAGCACTTATCTACTAGTTACTTGTCTCCTAGTCTACTAGTTGACATCAAAATTGATGTACTAATTTATGAAATATAAATGTGTAAGTTATGTAAGCAGTTATTTATTAAAAATATTTCATTTCTTACGCTGACGCAGCAAGCCACCAGAAATCAGGTAGTCAATTATTTACTAGAATGCTCAGTGGAGTGGCATTTGATTAATGGCTTTTCTTTTCTGTAGATTTGTGTTATTTCTATTTTGTTGCTAAATTGTATTAGTTCGTTATATTTCTCTTGTATTTTATTATTTTTGAGTAGAAATTATAACTGAATTTTTTGTTTTGCTTTTTCAAATTTGTTGAGGTAGGTAATTTTAAATGTAATGGAATAATATCGGAGATTGTTGGGTGGGAAGATCTCGAGGAGGTCGTTCTGGTCCTGACTACAGGGACTACAGGGGCGGAGCCAGTGCCAGTCGTGGGTATTCTCCTGTGAGAGGAGAAGGACCACCAACCAAGAGGATTAGACCCGAGTGGCCCATAGAAGACAGAAGATATGGAGGCATGCCTCATGACACGTATGGCTCCTATGGCTGGGGTCATGATCACTTCGGGCCACATCCAGCACATCAGGGATATGGACAACCTATGCCACCAGTACCGGCAAGGTCAGTGTAGATAATCTAGCCTAGATTTCATTAAGTTTGGTTAATAATGTTAAAAAAAGCAATTACAAAAATGACTTGATTACAGAGATGCAGTTTTACCAATGGGGCCTTCGGATGGTCCTCCCACAATGATGTCTTTCAAAGCCTTCCTGGCTGCACAAGACGACTCTATCACAGTAGATGATTCTATTCAGAAATATAATGAATACAAATTGGAGTTCAGAAGACAACAGCTCAATGAATTCTTTGTAGCCCATAAAGATGAAGAATGGTATGTATTTATTCTTAATTTTTCCGTTTATGTAACTTTAAATAGGAAAATTCTTAGAGGATTGTAAACAAATGTGATCATCTTAAAAAAATGTGCCTTTTGTGTAGTGTACACTTTCCTATATTTGCTGGTGATTAAAAAAATCTAAGCAACAACTTACTATAACCCTGTTTTTAATTAGTGATTTTTTTTTAATCATGTGAGTTGTATGCTGTAAGTTTGCCTAGATTTTTTTAATGTTACTACGCAAATGTTAATTGTAACCTTTTTTCCCTACAGTCTACAGCGTATTCGCGTGGATTTGCTGCACATCGTTACGAAAATTATAATCAAACTTTGTACAAATGTTAAATGTGTGTAGCTAGCTATTCTCGCGTTGACCGGTAGCGCGCAATGCTACAGGTTTCGTTTATGTTAGGGGTAGGGTTTAAATAGTCCACATGTGTGGAGCAGGTGAGACTGAAGATTTTTTAAATATTTAATGTCGTTTTAGTTTTTTTTTTTATCAACAGAATATGTGGATATGACAAGAGCTTGTGTGGTTATTAGACCAATTTTCCATTTATTTATCACATTCTATAGTTCCCAATAATTTTTATTTCTCAGTGTTATGTTCATTTTCGTTCTCTATTTTTTGTTGCACTTCTTAAACAATAGTTGTTTGTGTCTATGTATAATTAAATAATTCAGATATTTATTTTATGATTTTATAGTTATCAATGAAATGTACATCTACAAATGATCTTGGAAGTTGGTCTAATTGTGATTATTATTTCTGTAGTATAATATACTTATTGTTACTATTTAAATTAAATAATCTTGATATTTTCTAGGTTCAAGATCAAATATCATCCAGAGGAATCTGTAAAACGTAAAAATGAGCAGTTGGTGGCACTGAAGGTAAATTTGCTTCAATAACAAAATTGCATTCTCTTGCTCTCTCAAATTTGAGAAATGTAAAATTTACCTTACTTATGTATCAAATAAAATTTTATCGTATATTTCTAATTTACTTATTATTTTTTTTAATTAAACAGAGCAGATTAAATGTGTTCCTGGAGTTATTGGAGCAAGGGGAACTAGACAAGGTGACTGTGGATGTGGAGAAGTCTGAGAAATTAGTAAGACTGCTTGACACAGTTGTCATCAAGTTGGAAGGCGGAACTGACGAAGATTTGAAGGCTCTTGATGAACCACAATCGCAAGAAAACTCTACAACTGCTGAGAAACAACCAGGTATATATATTTTTGTTATACATTGTTATCATTTTCAACTTGCCCTTGTTCCTAGAGGGTAGACACAGTATCTAAATCTCTCTAACCATTACATCTAAATTCACTCTTAAGCATATCCTTTTTCCCACAATCCATCCATATATTTTAAATGTAAAATAGTTAACAATTGGTTTGACTTGTTTTTTTTACTTCAGATAAAAACAATACAGAAAAACCAGTTGTGATTGATGTTGATGAAGTAAAAGTTAAGGAAGAGAAAGAAAAGCCAGAGGAGGATAAGGTACGGAACATATACATTTGTATTACTAAGTTATAACTGACCTAAGTAATATAATGGAATTTAATATACAGGACAAGAAAGCAGAGTCTCCGAAGCCAACTGCACCTCTCACTATGGAGATAGACCCGCATTTGCGACAACTTCAGGAGCAAGCGAAGATGTTCTCGAGGTTTAATTCCCAACCTGGCAGTGACAATGAAGCAGAGAAGCCACCAGAAAAAGAACCTCGTAAGTTATCACTCAGGCCCGCGACTCCGTCCGCGTAGAATTAAAAAAAAAACAAAAGCGAGTAGCCTATGTGTCCTTCCAGTCTTCTCTACATCTATGGCAAATTTCACCGAGATCCGCTTAGCCGTTAAGGCTGCGAACCAACAAACATCCATCCATATAAACTAAACATTCATAATATTAGTAAGACAAGAAAGTGTTATAACTGTAATAAATTATATTAATATCCATTTCAGCTCCACCAGCTGTGTCGTCTTCCAGTTCATCATCATCTAGTTCTTCTTCCTCTAGTTCAGAAGACGAGGGTGAATCTGCCACTCGGAGGAAATCCAAATCCAAGTCAAAGACCCCCGACAAATCTCCTAAGCAGAAGGAAAAGTCACCAAGTGTGGAAAGAATAGAAGAGGAACCCAAACCAGCTCAGGATAAAGAAAAGACGGAAGAAGAAGAAAAATCAGAAGCCACAAATGACGTAATTGTGGAGAAGAAAGAGTCTCGAGCTTTGCACAAAACTACTTCGATATTTTTGAGAAATTTAGCGCCTTCTATAGCTAAAGCAGAAGTTGAAGCTGTAAGTATACAAAGAAACTTTTTTAATTGGACATTTATTTTTTACGAGCTGTTCCTGTGTGTGCTTCATTCGCATGTAATTTGAAAAGCTTTATTTTATTGTTTATATTATTGAAAGTAAAATGAAGGATAACAATTACAATTGCCATGGCAACCTTGCCTCCTTGATGTTGTCAGTTTGTAGTTTATAGTCCCTATCCCAAGTTTAATAATGTGAAAATATGTAGTCTAAAGCGTGTCGTTAGTGTAGGGCTTTTTAATAACGTATAAATTATTCTATAACATGTGATTGCTGACATCTTACGTCACGAAGTAGTGTGTGTTTAAGCTATATTATAGTATAGATATAGATATAAAAGTATAGAGTAGTAATATAAATGTTGTGTTGTCAGATGTGCAAGCGCTACGGCGGGTTCCTGCGCGTGGCGCTGGCGGACCCGCTGCCGGAGCGGCGCTGGTTCCGGCGCGGCTGGGTCACCTTCCGCAGGGAGGTCAACATCAAGGACATCTGCTGGAACCTCAACAACATACGCGTAACTACACTTTGCACCTATTTTGGATATAAAAAGAAATTTATGAATTTTAACATAGATTAACTTTCGCGAATTCTGCGCGTAATTAAAATGTCTTTAGTGGCCTACGTGATCTTTTGACTATGTTCTACTTCTGTGCTAAATTTCATCGAGATCCGTTCAGCCGCTTTGACGATACCTAGTAACAAACATCTGTTTATTCAAACTTTCGCATTTAGAATGTAAGTAGGAAATATAAAAGTATAATGTAATAATAAGGGTTTTATTTATTGTCATAGGTTAAATTGTAGATTTGTCTCATATTATTTATACACTTTTTGATATATGTTTGTAAAATACTAAATATTTGTGTGCGTTAGTTGCGCGAGTGCGAGCTGGGGGCGATCGTGAACCGCGACCTGCAGCGGCGCATCCGCGCGGTGTCGGGGCTGACGCTGGAGCGCGGCGTGCTGCGCGCCGACGCGCGCCTCGCCGCGCGCCTCGCGCACCTGCTCGACACGCGCACGCGCCTCTGGCAGCCGCACCACGACGCACACGACGCACACGACGCACACGACGCACACGACGCAGACGAACTCGCCTCGCCCGATGTAACTACACTTTATACGGCTTTTAACCCTGAAATGTATGATGCATTTATATCCCAGACTTCCCTTCCATACTCAATAGACTATTTAAATACTTTTTTTTCTTTTTCCCTTGATCTATGATTTACTACCCGTTTCAATTTAGGGTATTTAAAAAATCATGCATTTAAGGGTTAAACGATAATACAAAACCGTTTTCATATCGGTAAAAATCAGATCTGTAATTCTTATTTAGGCTATATACATAACTCAAAAACTACTTGGCCGATTTTAAAAAGTCTTTCATTGTTAGTATGATAATTTATCTGTGAGTAATATAGGCTAGCTATATTTTGTATAATTTTTTTAATTGTACGTGAACGAAGTCGCGAGCAACAGGTAGTCGCAAGTAAAATTGAGCTATACACGACTACTCTATACTTGGTCTGTGTGAACAGACCAAAATAAGTTTTTAATTTAGTAATTGACATTTAACTCTAATCTACAGAACTTCAGTCTCAACTCCAAGAATCCTGTGCTGCATAAGATAACGGAACATCTGATCGAGGAAGCGTCCACAGAGGAGGAAGAGTTGCTCGGATTAGAAGCGTCGTCGGAGCCGAGCACGACGGAGCAGCCCGACCCAGAGCTGATCCGCGTACTGGACCGCCTCGTGCTGTATCTGCGCATTGTTCACTCTGTGGATTATTATAACCACTGTGAGTACCCTTACGAGGACGAAATGCCCAACCGCTGCGGCATTATGCACGCGCGCTCCGGACCACCGCCTAACAAGGTATATAAATGTTTCTTACCGAAATTAATGTATAATTAATATTTATTTACTTGTAAATTACTGTATGTTTTTGTTTTAAGCCAACGCAACAAGAAATACAAGATTACATTAAAGCGTTTGAAAGCAAAATGTCTTCATTCCTACAAGACGCTAAACCGTTATCTGATGAAGAGTTGCAGAAACTCGGGATAAAGGTAATTTTATATTGGAAAATGAAAATTTTTTATTGTGTATATTTGTAATATATGATGTAATTGAAATGTTTTGTTATTTTATAGGATCCTGATGCGGAAGTGGAGAAGTTTATTCAAGCTAACACTCAGGAGTTATCGAAGGACAAATGGTTGTGCCCTCTTAGCGGGAAAAAGTTTAAAGGTCCAGATTTTATCAGAAAACATATATTCAACAAGCATGCAGAAAAGGTATTTTAATTATTTTTAATCCTACTTCTTACTAATAATATAAATGCTAAAAATCAGATGGATGGATGTTTGTTAGAGTTTGTAATCTTAAAAGCTGAATGAGTCTCAATGAAATTTGTCATAGATGTGGAAGATAGTCTGGAAGAACACATAGACTACTTACTTTTGTTTTTATTAGTTCTACGCGGACGGAGTCGTAAGCGAAAGCTAGTGTTTTTATAATAGTGGATCCAATGAAGTGATTTATTAAACTATAGCAACGATAACTTACTGTTTATTTGCATAAGCAATGTCTTCCAGACATACAACAAACGCGGTTTAAACTTAGTGAGTACTTAAAGTACTACTAATACTTAAGTACTTGAGTACTTAAGATACTTAAATGAGTATAAGCAAATATTAGTACAAATCTTGCTAATACTTAGTTTGTTCCTATGTTTAACTCTACCGCGTTTATTTGTCAGGCTGTTATTGTATGTGAACTGTCTGTGCGGGCAGGTGGACGAGGTGCGGCGCGAGGTGTCGTACTTCAACGCGTACGTGCGCGACGTGCGCCGCCCGCAGCAGCCCGAGCCGCCCGCGCGCTCGCAGCCCGCCGCACACGCGCACGCGCATGCGCACGCCGCGCCCGCCACGCCGTACGTACACACACGCACACATACACACACACACGATATACATACACACATTTTATACTGATATAACAAAGTGATTATGGCATACTGATCTGAAGCTTCAAACACGCGAAATACGCTGCAATTTGCAGATTTATGTAATTTTATTAAGTAGCTGTAACCCACCACTAAGATTCGGAGATGAAATAAGTAAATGAGTTGCTTTATAGGGCCCTTACGCCCGGAGTAATACTACAACCACACAGAAGACACGCGTAAATCGGGAGCAATTCAGCGTTGCATTTGAGGGGTGTGCGTGTCGGACATCCAACCTATATCAACTTTCTTTGTGTCTCCTCATAGTTTAAAATATGGTATTAGAAATGCCGATGTTGGGCAGCAGTTGCTGCGCTTATTCGACAAATGTGAATTATGTATAGATACGGCGGAGGTGGCGGTGGGGGCGGCGGCGGCGGGGGCGGCGGCGCGCGCGGCTGGGGCTGGGGCGGCTGGGCCCCGCCCGCGCCCTACGCGCCGCGACATCCGCGCTTCTCTCGGCCCAGGTAACCGCACTTTGCAGCATACATATCAACTGTATACAAATCGTACTAATATTATAAACTAGCATTCGCCCGCGACTCCGTCCGCGTGGAATTAAAAAACAAAACCAAGTAGCTTATGTGTTCTTCCAGACTACCCTCTACATCTATGCCAAATTTTATCGAGATTTGATCAGCAGTTTAGGCTACAAACTCTAACAAACATCCATCCATCTGAACTTTCACTTTTAAAATATCAGTAAGATGTGAAAGTTTAGATGGATAGATGGATGTTTGTTAGAGTTAGTAGCCTAAACGATTAAACGGATTTCGATTAAATTTAGTAAATATGTAGAGGATAGTCTGGAAGAACACATAGGCCTACTTTTGTTTCTTTAATTCTACGCGGACGGAGTTACCGGCGAAACCTAGTATACAGAAAATGTAACTCCTAACTGTACTGATTACTTGTTACAGTTTATATGTGAGGTTATAATGTAATATTTTTTAATAATCAGCGCATTGCATGCTTTGTTTTTTTTTTTAATTCCGACTTAGAGCACCCAGCACGAAAATTTCCGTAAAAGTTTTCGCATCGATATCAACATCGACAAAAACTCGAGATTTCTGCAGCCTCTGTCGGGCGTAAAATTCACCAACAATTGTCATACAAGTTTTATCGATAACGCTACGAATACATTATCGCAAATGTTCGTGCCACACCCCTCAGTTGCTTTGTTTTGAAAGTCGTATTTATTTAGTTACTAAGTTAAAAACGCTTTTTACAGTTGCAGAAGTTTTGTATGTTTAAATTATGTTTGTTTCCTATCTTCGCTCATTAGATGATAATAAAGTGGAATATTTATATATCAACAAAACAGATAATAATGTTAAAGTTCTATTTATTTTTGATTTTCATACAAATTAAGTTTAAAAGGTAAATAAAACAACCATAGCGTCTTTTATGGATTGCTTAATATTTTTGCAACGACTACACAATTAATTAATTGATAGAAAATAAAACAAACACTCTCTGATCAACAAAACATGTTTTCCATATCCCCATAAAAGTTTATGCTTGCTAATAATAAAGGTATTTCACAAATAAATATAACATCACCGACCTTTTTCATGTATTATCATAATAACTTTGCCCCAGATCCGGATTCATTATAAAAAATACAAACAATCTATACTAATATCTATACTTATCTATACTTCTATATCTATACTTAATATAATAAAGCGTAAATACACACTTCTTTGTGGCGTAAGATCTCAGTAATAACAGCATATTTTTGAATAATTCTTTTTTTAATAAAAGGCCCTACACTTAAGTTACGCTTTAGGCTATATATTTTCACGCCATTAAACTTAAGGGGCAAATAAATTAGATAAAGACCATTATGTAGGAAAGAGACCATAAGCTACGAGCTGCCAACATCAAGGAACCAAGGTTATTTTGATAACGTTAATTATGACATTTGCAATTGAGAATTTGACAAATGTAAACAATAAAATAATGATTTTTATATTTTCTTGCGGATGGAGTCGCACGGGAATAGCTAGTTATGTGATAAAGAGGAAAGATTTGTATTTTTGTATGTATTGGAATAAGTAAAAAATTAGTGGGCCTATTTCTATCACTATTAAGAAGCTACGTAATCACTGAGTAACATAGGCTATTTTTTTCCATTTCACGCGGGTGAAGTCAGCTAGTTTTATAGCAAACAGCTAGTTTTATATAAATTAAGTTTCATATGTTATTACCACACGAAGCAAGTATATGATTAGATATGCAATTGATGCACAATTATGATGTGGTTTTACAAATATTTTTACTACATCCTTATCTCAGATTAACACGTGTTTTTGATAAATATGGATTTCTATATAATAAATTCAAACTGCATCCTGTTCTACACAGGAATATAATACAAATATGTGTTTACAATATGATTTATAAAAATCTAATAAAATAAATAAGTTTTTCAGTGTTCACAAATGTACAAGAAATCAACATAGAAAATATTCTCATGCCTCATCAATTCAAATTTAAACATACATTATGCATGTGATATTTAATGTTGAATCTTATTGGAAATTTTAAAAGTAAAAGCTATTTTTAATGGTAATTATTTTTTTTATATGACGTGCAATGTTTAGATATAAAACTGCGAGTTTAAATAAATAGCAACTTAAAATAGTTACATACTTACAAAACATAACACATTAACTAGTAAGTTTATTATTAGCTACAATACCGTCGTGTCTTGGTGTTTTAATTAGATTGTAGCACTACAAATGTACATATTATTGAATCTTCGTCAGCTATTTTGTATTACTGACTTCTTACAAATATTATAAATGCGAAAGTTTGTATAGATGGTTGTTTGTTAGAGTTTGTAGCCTAAACGACTTAACGGATCTCGAAGAAATTTGATATATTTGTAGAGAATAGTCTGGTAGGGTAATTACTTTTGATGTTCCATGCGGAGGGAGTCGCAGGCGCAGATGCTAGTTGTCTATAAAACACTATAGGTACACTTTAATATATACATGAAAATCTACAGTTCACGCCTTCGTAACGTTAAAATGTAATGTAAAAAATCGCATGTAATGTAAGTAAAAGAAACTTCAATGCTAAATTTTTTTTAAAACATCGTTTTTCTGAAGTTTGTAACAACAGTAAATTCACTCTTTATTAAAACGAACTTAAAAATAAAATCGGACGAAAGGTTATTAGGAGACTATAAAACTTCTATAATAAGAATTATTACGAGTATTGCATCTCTAAAATGTTAATAAATTTTTAAAGAGTGGCATCATTTTATTACCTGTGTGATCTAATTAAATGAATAAAAAATATATCTTTATTTATACATCGCCTATATATATCGCCTATATGTATGCGTGAGCCCTCAGTTTACACTGACTTGCTAGTTTTATATTTATTTTCGAGATTAATATAAGATAGGCGTGATTATGTTTTAAACCATCAAACTAAATCTCTCTACGGACGTCTAGATTCTAGATTAAAAAAAAACAGCAGTGACTTAGGGTTAATCTATTTTGGTCGCTTCTTTCATACTTCTCTTGCCTACGTTATATCGTGAGAATTATGCGTGGGTAAATATTAAAACTGACCTTTTAAATATAATCATGTAATCCAATAAATTAAGTCCGTTTTATTAATTGACGAAGGAACGAAGAGTAATTTTGTTTGGGTTAATCTGGGTGTTCAGCAGTGCACCCGCCGAGACGAGCACGGCCGAACTCTTTACTCAAAGCGATTCAAGGCACTTTTGCCACCCTTGTGACTTTTTTGTGGATAAAGATAAAAGGTTGAAATTTTGAACATCATATCATAATTCCTTACATTGACAAAATATATTTTACTTAAACCTAGTGTACAAATTATGACTATTACTAGAGTAGACTACAAAATTTACCACTTCTTACAAAACTGCGTGTTCAATCATAATTTTAAGACACTTCCAATGGTGCTGTAACTTGAAATTTACAATTTAGTGTACAAACATTACAAAAATAAAAAAAAAATCTCGTTAGTTCAATTATAGGGGAAGCGAGGCTCAATAGTTTTTTTTTTTTGGGATTCTATTTTAGCTTTTTAATAATGTTCTAGATGGAAACTTAATTAATTATGCAATCGCCCACTATCTAATGAGCGAAGACGAACGAGCGCGTATTGTTATTTGTATTGCTTGTGCTTGACCTTTGCATTTGCATTTGCTCTGTAAGCTTCACACATTTTGTTTTTATCTTCCCAGAGCAGTCGTATTTTATCAAAAGACGTTGTTCTATTGACATTTTGCTTTTTACCATCTTCGCAAGAAATTATACTTGCAAAAACATTATAATAAACAAGTTTTAAGCTTTGAGGTATAATTTGCAGGGAAAACGTGGATCGGTCCCGGCCCATTATTGCATACAACGATCTCGACTTCCCGGACAATGGTGACATATTCTAAGTTGTGACGATTGCTATAGTAAGAGCGGGCGTACGCATTTGACTAAACTATATCACAACTGTTGTGCGAGTGTCGATTACCGATTGTTGCGCAGCCCATTCAACAGTTTAGTTGCTAAACTCAAATCGAGTAGTGTGACCACCTCCATATATTTCCTAGGAATCAAAGCGCGTCAAACAGTTTTGCGATAGGTTGGTCAAAGACTTGTTCGTGCTCTAACCACAGCAACATTCCGATATCAGATGGGTGATTTGTTCATTCTGAAAATGTTGTTATTTGAAAGATTATTTAAAATCATACAATGTAGTATGAAATATACAAGTAAATTTTATATGTTTGTACAATTTGTGTCAATTTATTAAGAAAAATCACAACAATGACCGTGTCACAATGTTTTTGTTGGCTTTTATGTTTGCATTTTAATACTTTTCTGGTTTGTGTACTAAATACTTTAATGTATGTAATAATTGTTAATGACCAACATTCAATTCAGCTATTATTTATATTGATTTTGTTTTTCTCTAATATTATTTTTCATACGCGAACTTATTATTTTATAACATTGATAATTCATCTAACAATAAGTACATGTTTCATGCTAATAATTCGTTTGTTGTAAGATAATAAATAAATATTAGAGATTATGGAAACATTTTTTTATTGTTAATTGTTAATTAACACTTAACCCTGTATTGTTCCCGGGAAGCTGAGATTTGTGACAGTCACTCTTTTAAACTTAGCTTCGATGTTAAAGTAAGCAACAAACATTGATAACATCAGTGTGGGACTTTGCATCTATACATTCTTTAATAAACTATTATTAGTATATTAATTTTGCAAAAAAGCAAACCTTTCTTCATCACTGGTTTTTTTTTTTTGGTTAAGAAACATTTCGTTTTCTTAAGTTTCTTATACGCAAATTTTACTATACATGATAGACATAATGTTCATACTCAGTTTATAAATGCAAGGTTACACTGACTGCAAAATGTAGTTGTGTTTGTAAGTTTTGAGTGAATCGAGCGTTGGGTGAGTTTTTAATCCATGCTTTATTTTGAAGGGGTGAGGCCGCGGAGTTCCGCCCGGTCGTTCACTACCGAGACTTGGACGCGCCGCGCGAACCCGACGACTTCATATAACACAATACATTGACGAGACACCTTTGTCCCGAAAACCTATCAGCAGGAATAAAACACACTAGTGTAGTTCACAGCAATTATCGAATTATAAATTTATCTAAGTATAAGCGACATAATATCATATTTGTCTCAAATATTAGCTTTAATAAAGTTGTTGAAAAAACGGTTGGTATTTTTTTCGCTGATGGAGAGAGATGGAATTTTGATGTGATTCGATCCTTGTTGCTGGCCGTTTATGTAGAAAAGGTGATAAGGTAAAAAAAGGCGCTTGAGCTTCTGTACCCATAATACATATAAAAACTGCTGTTATTCAGCAAGTTTAAAACATAAAAAGATGATAAAGAGGAAAAAAATAAGTGACGGGTATGATAGAACGAGACCATCTACAGCAAATGTTACATTCGTCTTATAGACCACATGTCGTACACCGACGCCTAAGTAACTGCCTTACACGATACACAAATAGGCAGCACACTAGTCAAGTTTCGGTTGCATAGCAAGGTAACTTATTCTATAAGTAAGCAGTTTTCAACATTATCCCCAAAGCATATGATATAAAAAGGACACTTGCACATACCAAATAGCTGCCGTCGTCATATACCGACGTATATTTTTAACACACCAAAGGTTTTTTTTCACCAAATGTAATTCAGAAATTAAAAAAAAAATATCTTGTTCGCTCGTAATGTCCAAGGGTATCATTAAATTCTAGTTAATATTTAAATCTAGGTAAAATAACAATTTTAAAATGACTTACAATCGCCCTCTCGTATAACAAACACTCATTATTAAACTGGTTTGTAAAAGATATGCTGATTTGTTAGTAAAAAATATAAATTTCTATTGCCACGAATCTGTTGCTATCGGCTCGAGATGTGCCTCATCTTAATAAAAAAACAAACCGAAACAGAACATCAATATTCAGCGCATCCAATCGTAATAAACTGACCAAGGATAATTGGGTATATCACCAAAGTCTTTACCTATACATGTGAAAACGAGTTTCGCAATGAGAATTTTAATTTCGTTTAGATAAAATAAAAAGAAAATAGCTCTTATATTTTTTCTTCTAAACCATAAACGTGCAAAAATCTATCATAATTCTTTCTAATTTATTTTGCTGTTAAAAATCGTTCAATTAACTTCGTCTCATGTATTAATAACGGTTGGATTTCTTTTTTGAAATAAATGGAATACAAAGACAATTAAACAAAACAATTTGAACTGTTGACATGATCACCGTTATCTCTTACAGCCTTACAAATAAACGTGGTATAAAGTTAAACTTAGGAATAAACTAAACAAATGTAAGTACAAATCTATTTTATACTCAGTTAACTTTATACCGCGTTTATTTATAAGGTTGTTAGGTACTAAAGTAAGTAATAATTACAAAGAAACTAAGCTACATATGAAAGTTAGTATTGAATTTTAAGCTATAATAATAAATCTGCCAAAACAGAAATATTGTAAATAGTGAAGTACACTAAGAATAAGCTTATTATTTTATTTTGATGTACCACAATATACTGTACTAGTGAGGCATAAAATGAAAGTGAAAGATTTATTCCATGTAATAACGAAGTTCTCGGGTTTTTACACTATTGACATGAGCATAATACCTCAATTATAAAGTAGTCACTTCAAGTTTAATGTCAAACCTACAAAAGTTACTAGCCTTGACCTCTAAGAGTTCAACAACAAAATGCTTATATATTGGAAATATGTATGTACATACATGATATATGAAAATTGATTTGAAAAAAATTTGCATATCATCATCACTATACATCCCCACTGAAGGGCTTGGAGTCTTTTTGTTAACGTGGGGAAATGCCTAACGCATACCACCCTTGCATGGACAAGGGTGTTTATGTCGGATTTGCGCCGACTAAAACCCCACGGTGGCCTCCAACTGCCATAATAAGGAGCCGCGGGATCTCCAAATGGAACACTACCGCTGCCCCTAATGACGCTTTGCAATTAATAGTTGCTCTCCTACCATAGCTACCAGCCACTTCTTGGGAATGCACTACGGAGACATCAGGGCCCTAAACCTGACCACCGGCAACGCTAAAAATTCTGTAGATATGACGGAAGAGAAAACCCGCGTCGTTACCGATGGCCTCCGCGAGGAGCACCAGGGCCTACCCTAAGTTAGGGGGCATATAAGAAAATTATACAAAACACTTAAATTTTAATGAAATAAGGACACAGAATAGTTTTTATTTTCTAAACAAATGTTGATGCCTTAGAGTGCGAATAAAATAGCTTGTTTACAAGTTTCATGGTGAACTTGTAGGCAGTGTGTCACCCGGATATTCGTCTGTACGCACTGGGTATGTGCATCGGTATGCGTTATTTTGTCACTTGTAGTTAGCGATTACGTTATCCAAGCACAGATTTTCCAAAGCTCTAACAATGATATTTTACTAACATGACATTGATTGCTTCTAAGTTTCGAATGTGTGAATCATATTTGATAACCTTGATTAAATATCATAGTATAAAACAAGCTTTGTTGTTTTTATCAAATTGTAATAAAATTATTTAAGATAACGTTTTATGTAATAGTTTTTAATAATGATATTTAGAGATCTAATTGAAGTTATGGATTAATGGAGAACTTTTATTCTTAGTAGGAGAGTCGTTAACCATACGTTAAATTTTACATAAGCTGTTAAAGTATTTGACGGTAACAATTAACAATGATTACTTTTAATTTATTCTGTTTTGTTATAATCAACATTTTTACTTTGGTCTTGAATTCCATATTAAGAGTAGAAATAAAAGCGTGTCGTCGTAGTATTCTTAAAAAAATATGTACATACGAGATCTTAGTAAAACAAAATGACGACATCAACGTTTTCATTAAAAGTAAAATTTTTAAAAAAACGGGACGCAATATAATTCTTTTCTCACTATATGAAGTGCAAATTATTCATTGCATGTCCAATGATTTTCGCGATGTAAATATTCTAGCCAATTACCACGCGCCGCGGATCACTTGTTGACATGAATATGGGAAATATTTTTCAATCCGCGATCCTTACTGCGGCTTAATAATAACTACAACAGGTTTTTAGATGCGTCTATTTGTGTGTGCTTTATATAAGGTGACGGCATCAACAACACTGTAGTCGGAAAGCTTCACCACAATGAAGCTCTCGTGTGCTTTAGTGTTGACCCTGACGAACCTTGTGATCGCCACCCCCTTCAGTTTCAGTGTCAAAGGTAGCGGCGCATCAGCGAAAGGTCAGTACTTTACCTATTAGGTTTTAGTAATTTCTGGAACAAACTACGTATGTAATTGCTCTGTATTTTGCTATAATTTGCATGTAACATGTTAAGGTGTTTCTAAGTAACTTATTTGAAATAGGGTTTGAACCAACGATCGTTAGTAAAGCCAACCGAGATATTTGCTTTCCATATATAAAACAGGCAGTATTATTCTAGTTATAAATCCGTGTTTCAAATCCAGCAAAAAGAAGTAGATTCAAAATCGTGTCGATATAAGTGCAATTTTATAATACGCTTTATGTATATTATTCTACACTACTTCTATGTATGTTAAGCTCGAGCTAGATTATTTAGAATATAATCTACTACAATAACTAAATATACGAACGTATAATTATTAACATTGTGTAACTATGTTAATTCTGCAGCATTGAGGTTACATTTTTAAACAAATACTGAGTTTAGATATTGGCTTACTGTTACATGCTTTTATTTATGTTATTCAATTAGTACTTTTTTCTTAAATATTGATAACAGTCATCATCTCCAGCTTTACGTCCCCATTGAGGCGCTCAGAGCCTACCGTAAGTTACGGGTGAATAGGCCATAATCAACTAGTTGGTTGACTTCACACATATTATTGTATTTCTCTACCGATATGTGCAGGTTGCATCACAATGTTTTCCTTCACCGTAAAAACGTCGGGTAAATTATGTACATATGAAATTCGAAAATAACATTGATACATGGCGAAATCCGAACCCAGGACCTGTAGATTACAAGTCAAGTGCATGAACCCCTGAGCCGCCGACGCTCTCTTGATTACGTTGTCTTTGATAACAGTCTTTATCAGAAATTATACAAGAGCGTAGGAATCTACCTTAGTATAATTATTAAGCTTTAACGAGGTAAAAGTACAAGGACAGGAATACAAAAAACATAACGTCACAGTTGGGAAAAATACGTAACCCGTAAAATAATGGAATTTAGTGTAACGATCAAACATAGAAATTTATTATTTTGTATGCCTGTCGATAACACTTCTTAATTATAATTTGTTCATTTTAGCGGAAGCTGCAACGTCTCCCTTTGGACAGTTTGGGGTTGTGCAACCAGTTGCCTCGAAGACTAGTGGATTTTCTGGTACTTTCTCGAAGGCATCATCTTCAAGTTACGCATCAAGCAGTGCTAGCTCAAGCTCGAGTGCGTTTAATTACAATGCCGGGCAAATAGGCACCGCATCACTAGGATATGGTTCTCAGGGTTTGCTCGTACCAAATAAAAATGTAGGGCCTCAGGTAGTCACGGTCCCACAAGCCACTGCGTTCGCTACGGCTGGATCTAATAGCCAAACTGGAGCTTCAGTAAATGCCCAAGCCACAGGGTCTTATTCTTCTGAGAAAGGGAGCGTTTTTCCAGGAAACGCAAATATCCCTGCAAATGTGCAATATCAATCTGAGGTGCCTGAAAGCAAACCAAACGCATACGTCGGCTTAAGCTCAGAAGTACCCAGTCATTGGCATGAACAATCAAAGCCGAACAGTTTTAACACAGACGTACCTGAGCATTCTGAAAAAGCCAAAGAAACCTTCGGTGTGCAAAGCTTTTCGGGTAGTGTACAAAATAGTCCAGCGTTTGTTTCAACGCCCGCTGCACCAACACAAGGGTCACTCGAAAATGCGCCGTCTTACTCTGGTGGCTTTGGAGGACCCCCAGGAATATTAAATCCTGAGATTTCTTCCGTCGGTAGTACCCCGAGTTATCACGGTTTCGTGACTTATCCTTCTGGACAGCAGTTAAATGTTCCCAACAATCAACAAACTTTTATTAACGCTCCTGTAAGCACAGTAAACCCAACCTACGCTCAACAAGATTACCCAGCGGGAAACGTAAACCCAACTATCCAGTCAATAAAAAATGAATATGTTTCTCATACTGAAAATTCCGAACCATCGTATAAACCTGACATAAAACCATCTTATTTAGAGCAAAACAAACCTTCTGCATCGAGCAGTTACAACGCAGGATCAAGCGAATGGCAGCAGAATAATGGACATGGTACCGTGCAGGCACATGCTGAAATCTCTCATACTCACAAGGAATTGGAGCAAACTCCCCATTCTGTCGATCACTTCTCACACACCGATAAACCTTTTGTGAACAACCAAGATTCGAAACCAATTAAGAACGTTCAAATATTTGTTCAGGCTGTACCTAGTAAAGGACCCCATTCATCTCCTAGCTCGGTCCAATTTACTAATACTCAAATAGGTTCTGAAAATAAAAAAGAAGTGAAACCAACTAATCAGTTAGCATATACTGGTGGATTTGGCGCACCTGCTGGAATTTTAAAACCTTCAGGCCAATATGTGTCAAGCGGCCAAACGTTTTCTTCGTCCCCTGTTAAGATTGAACAGTACGACAGTTCACCTGTAGCATTAACTACAACAGGAGTAAAGGAAACTTCATATAATACAGGTTTTGGGGGGTTGTTAAATGAAGTAAAAGAAACTGCTCAGCCTTCCTTGCAAAGTTCAAGTGATTACTCGTTTGAAAGTGGGTCGACTTCAGGTACTTATGTTACCCCGAAACCTTCCAGTTCTAGTCTTTTTGCTTCTTCTCCTTCTGAACAAGTTAGTAATGACTACATTTCTACGGAACAAAAAGGAACAGAACAATTCTCAGACAAGCCATCTGAAAGCAGTTTCCAAAATCCAACAGTTTCATCTTGGACACAGAATCCGACGGTCAATACTTTACCGATTAGACCAGAATTTGAAATACAGAAAAAACCAACCGGCCAAAACTTCTTCAATACGCCGTCACCTTCGTCTCATTCCCCCGAACAAGGTATTGGTGGAGTTTCCGTTTCAGTAGATAAAACGAAGCCAACGACTGTGTCTGAAAGCTTTGGACAAGTTTCTGAAAAAGTGAATCCCACCGTTCTATCAACCATCACTAACAATGGTTTTGCTTACTCTAATAGTCCCTATAAACCAGTTGTTATACCCACTGCACCGCAGTTTCAAGTTACAAAACAGAAGGAATCTGCTGTATCTTTCACGGTAACGCAACCAACGCCTGTAAGTTTTTGGCAGCAATCAACAACATATAAACCATCATTCGAAGGGTCTACACCTGGATATTTGTATAGTTCCGAAACATCCCCTACCAAGTTTCCTTCAGTAACAGGAGATTACACTGTATCCAAACAAACAGAACAATATCCTAGCAAGGTAGATTCCAATCCTGTTGATTTCCAGGTTACTTCAACTTTAAATCAGCAGTCCTCTTATGGTAGCACAGCTTCGTCATTTGTTACACAAGAACCAGCAGCTCAGGTTGATATTGCAAACCCCACATTAACAAGTTTTTCGCAAGAATCGTCATACAAACCGTCAATTGAAAATTCTTTACCATCAAATTCCGCTTCGCAATTCTCTGAAAGTCCCAAGACTTCTTCAACACAAGATCCATCAACAGGCACATTCACTGTTTCAAAGGAAGTATACAAGGTTCCAACCCAAATTGTAAGCAATAATGTATATCCACCCAGTACTGTAGCATCAGGTTTTCACCTCGGTTCAAATTCTCAGACATCTCAATCCCAGTCAACTTCATACCAGCATCAACAATCTACTAACTTTGGAAGTACGTCTTTTGTGACACAAAAACCAACGACTGTTAACTTTGTTAGCCAAACGCCCGATGCAACTTCTGGGCTAACATCAACAGGTATTACGCAACAATTCCACAAACCAACAGTTGCAACCTCCTTAACAACTAGTTCTGTATCTGGATCGTATGTCAGTTCCAACGTATCCCCGACTCAGATACCCGTTTATACAGAATCCTTCAACGTGCCAAAAGAAACTAAGGTAATTCCGTCTGACACTTCTAGCAATGTAGATTCGACTGTAGGAACTGCACCTGCATTTAGCACTAATGCATTTTCTGGAAAACCCCAAACCCAACTTGGTGTATCTCAGCAATCCGTAGAATACAAACCCGCCTCACCTCTTGTTACAAAAGAACCAACCATTTCCAGTGATATTGCTAGTCAGACCGTTGGAAGTACATCTGCCGTTTCTCAAGCCAACAAGCCAACAGTTCAAAATTCTGAAGGAAATAGTCCCGGGTCTGGACTCTTGGAAATACCGAAAACAACTCCTTCAAAGAATACTCCATACCAATATCCGACAAAACCTACGGTGGTGACTGGGCCTCAAAAGCAACCAGGATATTTAAATGTTTTTGGAACTGGAGTAGCTAAACCATCAAGATATTCTTCATCCGGTTCAACTGGTTACCCGTGGTCGTCATCTAATACCTGGTCTGGCCCAAGTTATTTAACAGGAGCTTATGACAAACCTAAACAAACCATTTATTTTAATCAAAATAAGCCTGTAAGTAGCGTTCCAGAAAAAAAAGAGACAATAATTCCCAACAACCAACCCTATTTTACTGGTAATACCAACTTAGCCTCAAATACTCCTACTACCCCAAAACCCTCTGTACAAGTTGCATCATTGAATGTACAACAGCAAAGTTCTTCAAGCTTCGCTAACCAGAAAGAAAAAGAATCGATAGCTACTGCTACATCAGGACCAAGCACCACTTATTCTAAGCCAACTCCTCAACCAATTTTGAGCAATAGTGGATCCTATACTCCCTTTGCTTCTCCCAAACCGACGAAGCCAACAAATCAACCTTTAACGGTCAATTCCGCATTTCCCACCTTTGGGTCCAGTTTTTCTCAAGTGAAACCTCAATATCAGTTTTCAACGGTTCAGCCAGCAACCCAGAAAAAACAATGGTACACAAGTAATTATGGAACATTTGGAGCAGTAAAACCAAATACTTATACATATCCAGGTTTTACTTCTTCGTTTACTACTTTTGGACAGGGGTCAGTTGGAGGATTATATGACAAAACGAAACAGACTACTCAGTATACTTCTACAGGTCAGTACAAACCTACTTCAACGGGTCAATACAATCCATCTCTGACTGGTCAGTACAAGCCTATTACAACAGGCCAGTATAAACCTACATATAATTGGGGAATTGCGAGTCAATCACAGTTCCAAAAGCCTTCCAATCAACCTACTCAAACCGGAGGTTCTTATGTTTCTACCTACACACAAACTACTAGTAAACCATTTGTAACTCTGTCATCGTTCGACAAACAGAAGCCAACTGTCGGAGCCTCTGTTGTAAATCAAAAAGAATCTAGTATTCCAAGTAGCTTTTCGTCAACTTCTGGTGTTGTAAAGCCCACAAACCAACTTTCTACATCCTACGGTGCTCTTAAACCGACTGCCAGTGGAACGTCATTCGAATCAGGTACAGGAAGCCCTTCATTAACAAATGTTTCAGATAAAGGTAAAGTTACCTCTTCCATTGTTTCTACGACTTCAAATTACGAGTTACAAAAACCTGTTAATCCTACAGTTCAAACTGTCTCCAATACGTATACAACATCTTTCATATCAGCAAAACCCACAGCCGGCTTCCAAACTACAGGAACTCCTTTATTAGAAAACAAACCTACAAATAGTTACAATGTACAGCAACAAGTGTTTCCTTCTGTCCAAACTATTACGCCTACAAAGGATGTTATAAATTCTGAACTCGGTCAGTCAATTAAACCCACTTGGTCTTCTTCTACTACTACTGGAGTAGCAACAAGTAATTTATATCCTAATACCCCATCTGTCGAAGGTCAAATAAGCCCGGTAAAACCGACAAGCACTGTACATTCTGTTGGGGAAACGACTTCTAGTGTCTCTACCGTTGGACAAAAGGAAAATACTTTGGACCAATTTAATGGACAAATAGTTTCAACAAATCAAGCATCTGTTCCTGTTGGCCAAAAATTTCCGCAACAACAATCAAGTGAACCGTTTTTAACTAGTGTTCAAGCTAACACAGAATTTCATACTCATTCTCAAACACAATCTGCACCTACAAAACCTGAATATCTTAACACATTTGGAGGATCATGGGTTCAATCGTCGCCACCAAAGCAGATATCCGGCAGTTTAGAATCTGTTCAGAAGGAATCTGTACAACATGTCCAAAATGAACATGTCCATTCGAAACCTACTAATACTGCTTTCCTTTCTACTTCCCAACCCCAAACGGTTGTCGGTGTGAGTTCTGCTAATACACAACTCCCGAAAACTAGCAATATTACCACCACATATCTTAATTTTAAACCTGACAAAGTACAATATACCACCCAAACTTTTTATAAACCAACTGCAGTAGTTGGATCAGTTTCTAGCTATGCTAATCAGCAAACTGCTAAGCCAACAATTATTCCAACATCACAACAGACCTATTCAAATATCGCAGTAGCTGGTCCAACTAATCCGCCGGGTCAATATTGGGTTCAATCGTCACCACCAAAGCAGATATCTGGCAGTTTAGAATCTGCTCAGAAGGAATCTGTACAACATGTCCAAAATGTACATGTCCATTCAAAGCCTACTAATACTGCTTTCCTTTCTACTTCGCATCCCCAGACGGTTGTCAGCGTGAGTTCTGCTAATACACAATTCCCGAAACCTAGCAACATTACCACCCTATATTTTGATTCTAAACCTGACAAAGTACAATATACCACCCAAACTTTTTATAAACCAACTTCAGTAGTTGGATCACTTCCTAGCTATGCTAATCAGCAAAATGCTAAGCCAACAATTATTCCAACATCACAAGAAGCCCATTCAAATATCGCTGCTGGTCAAACTAATCCACCGGGTCAATATTGGGCTCTTAATACACAATCAGCTGCACAGCAAACTGCTTTTCAGGCCACTAAACCGAACATAAAAATCACTGTAGTAGGTAAACCTAGTAGCACCATTGTTAGCCCTCCATACTCTGGTGGTTTTGGAGGACCTTCCGGTATTTTGAAACCAAATGAATTTGGTATATCTCCTAATCAAGAAAATGTTCAATCGCAATTCCAAGCGAATTTGGGTGCATACAACGGTGCAAAAGTCGAAACTAATTCCAATACTGCCTCGTATTTCGGGGGATTCGGAGGACCATCGGGTATACTTAAACCAGATGAAAAATATACCATTAACCACGCCGGACATGATAAGCCCTCATCAAATGGAGTTCACGCTGGTACAAGTCAAGTCGGTGCTCAAGCAAATTATAATGTAGTACCTGCATTCCCCACTCCTGCAGCTCAAGGATACGTCAAAGAACAAGTCAGCTATGGTTCTCAGGTATCCTCGGAAGTCCAAGGAAGTTCTGTAGCAAATGTTGCACCAAATGCTGGAATCAATTTTGAGACAAGTGCTGGAACCAATGCTGCAGCAAACGCAAGTGGATTTGCTAATAGCAATGCATATGCAAGCAATGCTGGAGTAGATAAAACTGGCACTAGCTTTGGCGGACAAATTGGTGCAATAAATGGATTCAGTTCAAATTCTAAAGGATCTGCCACTGCCAGTGCAACGTCTTCAAGCTTCGGTGGAAGCTTTTCTACATTTGAACCTGCGAGACGCCTTGTTGGATCCCCTGGAGAAATCGCTCGTCGTAAGTTTTTCTTACTGAACTATTTTTCATTACATAACACGAAAAAAATATTAAATGTTTAATACCATATTGGAACTTCATTATAGGTGTACACATTACTTTATAGCGTGTGCCATTAATATGCGCGCATGAGTGTAGCGTGTAAAACTGTCCATCTTCATGTTTTAAATAAATAATCTATGATTTTCTCTATTTTAATTTTAAAAAATATTAATAACAGTTCATAACTCTAGAGTTAATTATACTGATGTCGCCGTCGTTGTAAATTAAAACTAATGTAGGTTTTCTTTTGTTTCAGTTTTGGGCAGACGATAATTTTAGAAGATAAAATGTATGCGCCTGCGACACCTGCCATCGACGTATTTTTGCTAAGCATTTAATGTCAAGATTGATGTTGACAAAAACCTTTGTATTATTATTTCATTGTGCCATAGTCTTTTTTTGTTAATCTCTATTGTACACGACTTACGAAACCGTATGTATTAACTGTTATAATTTTTTACAAATTAATACATGAATGCTTTAATTTCAAATGCTTTTTTTTTCTAGTTATTAAGTTTTGGTGCGCTAGAAATAGCATCCACAACTCTTAAATTGATTTTGAATTTGGAGGGGTAGTGAGATGATATAACTATGAAATGTTACAAAACCATTTTCAGCAACAAATTCAAAGTTTCACCCGTTTTTTATGGGAATCAGAATTTATAAGTTCAAATAACTTTAAGAAAATCTTCTGCCATCTCTTTACTTCTTTATTTTAGTTGATGTGTCATATTGAATATTATTATCAAAGGTTAAACGAAACAATAAATAATCTTAATGTTCATTTTACATTTGTTTTTATTTGATGGAAACTTTTAAAGAGACATTATTCAAGATGTATAAAGATGACTTCACACAATTCATTTTTTCATATTAGCTAACAAATTCCAACATGAATTCACGCTAAAGGTCACTCTCCCATAATCAATAAATGATAATAAAAAACTGATCGTTTAAGATGAAATTTGTTATTAATATTACATGACTCTTAAAATGTATACCATGTGCGTCCGATTTTAACTTATTTTTTTAATCATGAATTAAATATTAATTTGCCATAGACTCAAGAACTAACTACTGTTTACAGGTAATTATTACCAAAAATATCTTACTAATATCATAAATGCCAAAGTTAAGATAGATGGATGGATGTTTGTTAGCTTGTAGAATAAACGGCTTAACGGATCTCTATGAAATTTGGCATCGTTGTAGAGCATAATCTGGAAGAATACATAGGCGCTTTTGTTTTTTTTTTTAATTCGCCGGCGAAAGACAGTTATAACAGCAGAATCCTTGGCCCCATACCAACCTCAAGGATCCAATTTTTTGGATACTATACACATAATAATAGGTATTATGTTCTTTGTGTCATTGTCTCTGGGTGGGTGACACGAGGGGAATACCAGCCGGATCTTTTTTATAATAAAGTAATCGCAACTGTACGACATTATAGACATGTAAACAATTAAAAATGTAACTACGTATACAACTTAATCGTCTATTGTAAATTTATTTTTAGTAGGGCTGTTATAGCGCACATCGTTTTGTCCCGCGTTAAAAAGAGGAAGATAAGAAGTTTGAAGTAACTTAAGTGTTTGTTAAGTGATTATTTTTATTTTGTAACATTCCAACATTAATTTGTTCAGAAACTAAACCTTTATGATAGAGTATTATAAATTGCTATAAATTTTTGTCAACTCAAACACGTTATCATCCGACACAATAGATATCTATATATCTATTATCATAGGTGTTAGTTATGTCTCACGCCCATTCACAATGTCTACAAAGGCTGGTCAGGGTTATTTTTTGTACTTCTATGCATGTTATAATATATTTGAAATATTTGCATACATACTTAACTTACTTTTATAGAATAAACCGGTTTTCATGTTGACGTAGACGAGGAGAATTTAAATTGGATATTGTACTAAATAAAGGGGCATTATACACTTTTACATGTGTGATGCCAAGAGTAAACAACAAAGAAACACAAAACAACGAACAACAAAGAAGCAACAAACAGAGAACAGTTTCGTTGCCAGCTCTTCTGTAGAAAGAAAGAAAGCCCGTCGATATGCAAAATATGAAAATAGGGTACTATGATATTAATTCTGCGGCGTCTCACTCAGTAGACAAATTACAAAACTATGACACTGACTATGGTAGGTTATGCTAATAATAACACCATTCTCCAGTCCAATTATATAAATGATCGGTCCTAGTTTAAGATGTTCTATTAAAATATGGATATAATCATCATAAACAAGGAAGGGATGGTAAGGGAAAGTGGATTTGGCGGTGGAGGAGGCATAGGAAGGGGAAATATTCTCTTTACGTGCGTCTCCTCCTCCGTCGTTTAAGGGTCGGCAACGCATCTGAATTTGTGGATGTTTATGGGCAGCGGTGGCTTCGCCGTTTTGGCGGATTCAGGTGTCCGATTGCTCGTTGGCCACCCTATAGTTTAAAAAAATAAAGACTGTTCGTTTTGATTTAATTGTATTATTTTAAATGCAATTTTTTAATAATAAGAACAGTTGACTTATGTTTCCCATGGCGATGAATATTTCAAGAAAACGTAAATGTTGCTGATGTTTACATATTCTTGTAATGTTATTCCTCTTGTGAATTCAACGTAGCGTTTGATAGGCAACGTCAATATCAATATTGCTTATTTAAAAAAATGTTAGGCAAAGGATTGAGTAGAGCTTGAACTATGATGAAAACTTTATTTTTGTTATCTGCATAAAAGAAAAGCAAGCTAATACAGAATACATAATTCTGTAACATGGTAGACCTTGAACGCGACCCCGGATTTTATAAACATATATCCAGACATGTTTATTAATATTGCAAAATCATGATACCTACCTCATAGTCATACAAAATTTTATTAAGTAAATTAAAAAAAAATATGCCGATCCAAGTTTACAAATAAATCGATTTGAATTCGGAAACATGTTTTACTAATAATTCAGAATGTATGTTCTATTTTTTGTTATCTATATAAAAAGTCACAATTAGTTTTATTGTGTAGTGGAATTGCTATATTAACAAACTTTATTTTGACCTTGAACTTAAACTTTTCGCGAACTTTTGTCCGAAGTCATTATTATAAAATTTATAGTGGCAATATAATATAAAGAGGTATATTTTAATCTATTTTCATTCCATCAGCAATTGAGAGTTAATTGAATCTCACAATACCTATCAGTTGTGTAACCAGTTTTTTTTTGTCTAAAAAGTTAACAAATAACTGTTATAATTCACGAGAACATATAATTAAAAATATTATTAATTATATTTTGATTTTCATTATTGGTAATAGATACTGGCAGTTTAACTCCATTAGGTCTCTACCTATAATTTCATTGGGATTTCGATAAGAACAAAATTTAAGGTTATTTAAAGCTTTTGGTTAAACTTAAGATTGTGATTTATTTTATTTATTAGAAGAAATTAATAAGCATGTTAATAATCGTAAGAGAAAGTAATCAGTACCTACAGAACAAGTAAGGCACTATAGTAAAAAAGGCATTCTTAATATTTACTAGTTTTCTAAGTCCTACCATCAAAAGGATTAACTAAACCTTTAGCGGGTATCGACCATGAACCTCCTAACCTCACGTGTTACCTTTTATTCAAATACCACTCACATTTAAATAACCTACAGCTTCTTAACAAAAAAAATACACAAAGTCATAAATAAGCTTCCCTACAACAGCGTCTTCCATTTGACCGCATATACGGTGAGTCTAATAAACAGTCAGCCTAGCATATTTCTTAGTTTTATTTTAATATTATAAAAAATACAAAATTGAATATATCCAATAATAATACGTTCAGAATCAACAAACACGCGTTGAAGCTTGCATCAGAGTACCTAATAAAAATGCAATCGAAATTATTATACCTTATATATACCTGATTCTCTCCACAGATACATAAATTACACAATATCTGCCTGAAGATGTATCAATATTAAAATTTAGATATATTTTCCATACAAATGTTTTAAATAAAATGACATAAATGTAATGAATCTATGTCAATTTGGGACTAATGAATGACAGTAACACGATAGCTTAACATAATACTGACCATCTTCTTACTAATCTTGATATGAACTTTAGGCTCGTCCGATGTTAAGATAAGATTACGTATGACATATAATTTGTCAAACTTGTACATTTTCAAACAGAAACGGGCACAATCGAGGCTAGCGCTAATATGCAACATTATCTTGTCTCTAGATCTTGAGATTCCTCAACAGATTAATGTTACATAAATAAGTTACTTTTAAGCAACTTTTATCGAATAAAAAATATGCAACAGAAGATAATTAGTAAAGTGATACATTTTTGAAGAGCAAAACCGTTCATAAATTACACTATTCATTGAATGTGGTTACAAAAGCTGGCAATTTTTCATTATAAAAACACACACATTATGCTAATTGAATTTAAGCTATTACAAAATTTTATTAAAATCACCGTTTCCAGGAAATTCATTCAATGTTGATAAATTACTGGGACAGTGAAGGAAGTCGATAAGATTGACAAAAATACTAAACAAACATGAAATCAATTAGTAAACAAGGCTTATTCGATATTCATTATCTATTTTGTTCAGCACGATATCGAGCGAACAAGCTCGGAGTTGGGCAACATTTCGCAAAACGCTACCTCGCCTCCGACGACAATACCGTGACAACCTGTGAAGGCAAACACTTGTTATCTTATGAATAATGCCGATTATGTTAGGTAAACACGCACGCACGAGTAAGAGTGCATTTTTCACTAATTTTTATAGTTCACAGGGTGACTCAAAATTACATAATTTCAATTTGTTACAAATTTATTAATACATATATGAAAAAAGTTATTTATTTATGATTATTAACTATATAAGCCACTCCAAAAGCTGTTGTCTAATTTAGTCGTAAAACATATTAATTTTTTCGGGCGGCCTGAAAAGACAAAACTGTTTTTTTCAGTGATGCTGGCCTGAAAGGCTAACTATTTTAAGCTTTTATGTTATGTGTAGGTTTTTTTTCCATATCCATCCAAAAAAAGTTTAACAACTGCTGACAATTAATATGACAAATAGATACTGTGTGTTTGTAGTGAAATTAAAATAGTTTCAATGTATTCCTATTAAAGACTGTCACAACGTTTTTCAATAACACATATTTATTAAAAAGAAAACTAAACAAAGAAATATTAATTCTCTGTTAAATAACAAAAGATTAAGTTACTCATCCAATTTTATCTTTAAAGTTAAAACATCAATAAAACAATATGAAAAAACCTTTTAAGTTTAATCAATTTATCTTATATTGTGTTTGACAAATTATTCAGAAACATTATGATATTGGGTGTTGCACAAGGTTTCCTAGCATTTTAAATGAGGTTCTTTTTATGTCAAAGGTTCTCTTTTTAATCATATAAAATATCAGGTATAAAATACGCTACGGACTATTTAAATAAAGCGTTAAAAGGTTCATACATAATTAAGTCAGTGCGTCTTTAAAATTATCACTGCATTAGTAATGTAAGTTCCTTATTAACATTACAAATAGTTACTTTCAGCTACACTATTAATAAAAATACAACAAATGTATGCAGAGAGCTCTACAAGGAAGTCATCAACATGAAATACGTGCAGAATAATCGATATCCAAATCTAATTGCACAATAAGTGGTAAGAAAAATTCACTTTAAACTCCGAAAATATGTAAAATGCTCAACGTAACGTATTGCTAATTTACGATCATCGCTCGCGCTGCATACTATGCACAAATAATGCTGCCATACACGTTACGGTTGCCACTAGTTCAAAAACATGTTGCACTTTGTATGGTATCAAAATGTTCAAAACGGACCTCTCGCAATCAATAAGAGACACATGCAAATTTTAGGCAAATCATTACGTGATGAATCGTGACGTGTGTGGCAGCTATAAAGAACAATTGCAGTGTTTTAGAACAGCCTGTGTATGCAGGCGGCGCGGCGCACGAGTCACCTAGATGTCGTCGCGCCTATTGTCCGTTGTCCGTCAACCGCCGACCGCCGGCCGCTGGGTGAGCCGCACCATTACCTCACACTTTCAATATTGGGTTACGAGAATTTTACTTCAAGGCCCACTTTTAGGAACAAATACGAAGAGGTATAAAGCCGAAGACGAGCAACAATGTGACGCAGTTTGAGTTTAGAGCGAGCCAACATGTACACACCGGCAGTATTGTTGTTGTGCGGGATCGTGGGTACGTCCTGTGCTCATATTTTGTATACATTTTACGCACACTCTAATAACAACTATAGGTACACGTGAAAAAATCGAATATCACTTTGATAATAATTGATCAAGAACGAAAACGAACCTGCATTCGAAGCAAAGGACACTTTTTAAAATTTTAGTATCACTCAGTTTAGCAACTGAATTAAATATCCATTCCTACCTCTAGATATCTATCATTCATGCAAGAACAAAGTTTCCTGTCAGCTTATCATGCGAATCATCTGCAACTAGCTTGACTATATAACATTTAACCATTTAATTTTATGATATAAAATTTTGATTGTTATTAGGTAGCAGCACGGCTTACTACATTCAAAGGGATGTGCCGTACAACACCGGGCCTGCTGATCCGTATCCATTAGGCAACAGTTACAACTTACCCCAAGAGCAATCACAACGACTATTCTGGGGTGGACAGGGAAGTAACCAAGTTGGTGGCACAGGACTTTGGGCGACACTGACTAACAAATTCCCATTCTTAGGGAACATGTTCGGTCGCTTGGAACTACCGTCGGAATACGGTCCACCAAAGTTTTATACACCTAACCAGTTCAACAATCAAGATGCTTATAGGGCGCAAGTATATCAAGAAATTGGTCAGCAAGTACCCTTCGGAAGAGACGTGGCAATCACTGATGATGCGGTTATAGTGACTCCACCTCAAGTGCCGATCGCATCGCAGCCCGTACCTGCACCAGCGCCGGTGCCTCAGCCAGCCCCTGTTCCCCAGCCGCAACCATTCCCAGGCTACAACTACGAAAAGCCACGCTACAGACTGGAACTACCACAAAAGTATTATTAATAATTACTTTTTCCGATTTCCTTTGCTTTTAGTCGCAATTTTTATTTAATCCAGAAATGTTTACATTAATGCATTTAGTAAGTATTTTCTCTTTGTGATGTCTACGGGTATATATCATTTTTTTAATAATCAAGAGGCTCTCTTACATGTATCATTAAAAAATAAGAAATAAAAGTTTATTTACTAAAGAAATGTTTTTATTTTTCAAGGTCTTATATGTTTGAATTAATAATGTTTGTTATTTTATTAGTTCATGTTATCATCCATCCATGATTACTATTAATAATCTAGCTAATCAAGTATCCCACCTGTAATGTCATCCAAACACAACACCACATTTATATTCTATCAAGTTTTCGGTGATAAATTTTTATTACAGCATGATTCATTCGATGCTAAAATATTATTTTGTATTCATGTTTAATGAACAATAATTTTAAATTTAAATTATCACCCATCTCTTCGAGAAACTTGTTTCGTGGTTACGTAATTTTTGCAAAAAAAACTTTCCATTGCAGTGTTTAGACGTTTACAAGTGGTTAACAATAAAATAGAGTTCGTTAAGAATGAACTTGGTAAAAACTTGTTGAATTACTTTAAGTGTTATGCGTAACCGTTTTTTGTATAGAGTTTTAATTAGAGACAGAAGTGTATTGATCGTAGTATCCCTGTCCCGACGAGTCTAATCCTACAGAGGAGCTCGCTGAAACAGAACGACCACCGGACACAGGGCCAAACTGACGACGGAAACCACCAGCTCTGGAAACAGAAATATATTGAATCAATAAAATTACGCCTATTCCACAATAAACAGAAAGTTCTAAAGTTGTTATTTGGCTTCCTACAATGACGCTTTTCTTCCATGACTTGTACATAACTTCAGATACGTATTCACATTACATATCTATATGTTTTTTGGATTCCAGAGGATAGTCTTCGCGTTACGCTTACTAAGACTTAACTTCCATATGAAAAACTTTCTAAGCTGTTAATAAACATTTAATAAATAGATTATATTAAACTTTCAAACAACAACAACAACCTCCCCTTCTTACCTTCCAGCTAAAGCTACCACTCTTTATTTCGTTCGAAAATTCACATCGGCGCTTTTAGAAAAATACCATTGACTTGAATGATCCACAGAAAATTATCAAATATTGCTTGTCTTTTAGAAAATTACTACTAATATTGTATACGAGTGTAAGAGCTTAATATAAAATAGTTATATAAAAAGGTTTATGTATACTTGTTATTACATTTTGGATTAAGAACAGCATATATTTGGTTTATGTCAATTAATTTGTCGGCTCATAAACGTTTAGTAGCATTAACATAATTTGACAGTAATACGGCTATTTATTATGCATAATAATTAATCGACGCCACATATGGGCACAACTTTCGGGTCAAACCTTTTAATTAAGGTCAAAGAAGTTTCTATTACACTTAAATATTGCAACCTATAAGTATTAACTCTGTCTGTATATTGAATATTCCAGAAGATGCATAAACCTTAAAACGAAGACACAGTTAAAGATTTTTTTAGCGCCTGCCAAAATATTACATACTTGCTCACAAACCACTTTGCAATTTTTTAAAGCTGCTATAGATGAGCCTGTAAGTATTATTGCGGCAATTTCTCAATTATACAATAATTCATATCATAGAATAACTTTTATTACTTTTGGTTATGAACTTCTAAGAAATCTAATAATTAAAGGTTATCCCGCTCACCCCTTACTCCTATCATAGTAAGTGGATTTGCAATTTTGCGAATACCTGTTATGATTGATGATTGATTGATTTGCATTAGTTTGGTCAACTACGGGCTGGAAGCCTGCAAGCCCAATGTCTTACCTTCACCTTATAATTTATTACATTACCAATATTCCTCTTTTGTTTTAGAAAGTTGACAAGTTACCTTCGATCATTTCTAGTTTAAATAGCGACAACCCAATACAGATTATTTGTTTGTTTCTTTTAGATTGGTATAGTTAAAAATTCAAACACCCAATTTACAAGTTATCGCTAAATTATTGTGCCATTTTGATTAAAAAGTCTTGATGGTTTTAAGTAAATAACAAACTTAAATTATAAGACATTTATTAGTAGGTATTAATAACAATAAATAGCAATGTATCTTCCGGCAGCTGCACGGGCGTGGCCGAGGGCTGCGGGGGTGGGTGCAGCGGGGGCGGCGTGCAGCTGATGGAAAATGCGCGTTCAGGATGGATGAGCCGACACCATGGAATTAGTTCTGATCACTTCACCGTAGCTTACGTTAATGCCTATGAACACACAAATGTTAATTATTAGTATCAAGCACAAATGTAGTTAACAACATTTTAATCAAAATGGAAATGTGAAATAATTTAACTAAAATGCCTTAATAAGCTATTGACCCAAAATAATACGATCGAAAGAACCTTTTGTGCACAATTTCGTTTGAAAGCTTTATAAATAAAACAAATACCTAAGTACTATTAAATAATACCGCATAACATTTTATGCATGTACGCATGCGAATTCCATGCGAAATGAGCATCATCCAAATCATGCATGCGATGATTTATGGACATGCATGATGTCTGGCAGAGCTTTCATGATTTACCGTCTAATTTACTTGTAATCTCTGATCTTGTCTGTTTATAAAGTAATTTTCAAAATGTCCATAATATTTATTATAGATTACTGTAGTGCGACAGGATTAGATGCGCCGTAGCCCCCCTGCGGTAAGCTCCAGCCGCCGGAGCCCGCGCCCGCGTACGCATTGGCGTTCGCATTGGCGCGAGCTTCACCACCGCCCCCTGAAACATCAACAAATATCATTGAGAAATATACTTTGGTACGTATTAAACAACCAGAAAAAAAATTCTTAGATAAATATAAGACATCGTTGAATAGAACATTTGGCAGTTACAACATTGTGAAAAAAACGAACAAATATTAAAGCCCTAGGGCCTATTAGTAATAGCAGATAGTCACATTTTTAAATGTCATTAGAAGAATATTATTTTACTTTAAGTTAAAAGTTTTTTCATTACTTCGGCATCATCAAACACAACAATTAGAATTAACTTTAAAAAAATTACTAAATCTGTTCTAGACATTTCACTACTAGGTTAGCGAGTCCTAGATTTTGAGGTAGAAATTTATCTAACAATCGGCACATTGAGATACATTCATTGATTGTTAAAATAAATTAAAAAGCTACGCTCAAATTAGAGCACCCGTCACTTTAACGTTTTGATAAAATCACTCAATAGCCTAACCTAGATAGAATTTATTTGTAGCATTGCTTATTTTTTGTAGACTGCGACGGTCAGTCGCCAAGTTCGAAACCGTTATTCGAACGGACGACAAATGCCGTCGGAAAACGAACGCACTACACGTAGAAATTATCTGTTACACGGTTTATGTTGCGACCACACTCACGCATACCGAATGACCATTTAGACGAAGTGTGCATTGTATGCATATGTAATTTGACCTTAAGAATGCACAACGGACTCTTGGAGTCATTAAGATCGAAGCTTCGTCAGTGTTTTCCCATTTTACATTAACAGCAAAGCAGGAAGTTGAAAAGTGATGATTCGAAAATCATTACCAGGAAATCGTGACTATGTTTAAAACAAAACACGGCCGATTAGGTTACATCACGACTATCAGAGGAACCTGACGATATTTCAATCGTATCCAATTAACGATTAGTTTCTTCATCCATGACTAAATTATAACCTAAAGGCTAATGTATTTATTTTAAAAAAAAAAAACGAAGACGATCAACGTATTAGATAAACAACTACATATGTTTAAAAATGAAAACAACTACAAAACAAAAGAATACTTCGATTATTTTTATAAAACTCCGCGCTTCACCTGAGCTTACAAAGCTGCAAGCTTTTACAAACGTGTACCCGCATACCATTACCATAGAGGGCGCCACAAGTGATACTTAGTCTACATCGTAATGGACGTAAGAACAAATGTAACACCCTACATTTGATACGTACAGTAAAGTGTGAATATTAGCGGTTTTCATATAAACTGTTCTTGTGAACCTGGGATCCAATATCGAATTCAGATTTCTTGTGGTTCTGGGACAATAAATTGTTATATTGAAAGATTCTATACTTGTTCTATTTATCTCTATAGTACCTACCTCTATGTTACAGATTTTACGTAGATACCTTTACATTTAAAAAGTCAAAACCGAACTTAAAGATACGAAATAAAATAATTGTTTGCACTAAAATGCAATTGATAGCACGTTAAGTAGTCCAGAAGTAACGAAGCGGTTATCATTGCTCTCACGTATTCGTACAAGCAAAGAATACAGTAGAATTTCAAGGTAACGGTATAGAAAGATGCGATCGAGCAGTTAATTAAACAACGTTCGAGCCGAGACACTTCGTCAGCCGACAGCCGTTCAGCGGATGTACGGTTAGCAAAGTGCGTGCGTTGCTTAGGGAACACTTCGTCTACAAAGGCTATTATTATAATAAATGCGAGTAAAGAATGCGAGAGTAATGTATACTATTAGATGTTACTGTACAGAATTAAGGCCAATTTTATAAACCAGGTCGGATAATCTACTTACGTTTTACAAAAGCCCCGTTGTAATTATCGTAGGCACTAATTATTGATAACGTTAACAGGTGTTCCGGCGTGTATGATTGAAGTGGGTTATCTCAAAAGATCAAATAGGTATGCTATACTAGTACATGTCTACTTTTTATCAAAACATCGAGTATCAATGAGGATTTATGGAGAACAAGAAGGAGGAGAGTAAACATGAACTAGTTAATTCAGACTATAATTTTTTTTTACGAATTCATCAAAGTTGTAGCCTTATTTTTAATAAAAAAAAATAGTAATTCTGTTTTTGTTATTAATAATTGCTTAGTACATATGTATGTACGCGCGTCATGTAAAAGTTGTTTCACTGAAGGTCTTTAAAAGACGGAGATTCACATCCAATTTAAGAAAAAAACATTTAGTAAACTTTAAAGGGAAAACAAGTTGGATTTGTTTTTATCTTGACATTAATTATAAAAAGTTCATTGCTTTATAACCGGATTATATTTATTTTTTATTAATAAGTAAGAAAGTGCAAAAAAAAAATTCAATCTTTAAACAGTCTGCGAAGTCTACAAGGTAGTATCAAACCACAAGACACAAATTAATATTTTGTCATTTTTATGGGACATTTTTGTGCTATTTCAATAATTAACTTAATTACAGATTAATCATAAACATTATGAGACCTGTCAAATCCAAGAAAAATATATTATGCGGGTATGTAACTGGCTTCAAGCAATAACTCTTCCGTAAAGGCGATGAGAAAAATCCTTAACTACAGAGCTGCAATGATATTTTTTCTTTCCTATAATTACAGACAGATCATTTTAACTTCAGCGGGATTGACATGGATATAACCTGTTTTCACTTTCTAAGTAGTGAAGGCTTGCCCATTTTAGCGTAATACAAAGTCTGTCAAGTACCTTATTTATTAGTCGGTGTAAATTATGTTGTACGTAACATCTTATTCCAAATTGTGTCATAAATAAATAGCACTGTTTCACTTACAACTGTAAGCATTGGCGTTAGCGTTAGCGGTCGCGTCCGCGCCGCTGTATGGATAGGGGTAGGGGTTCACGGAGCGGCGCAGCCTCCGCAGTGGCACCGGCGCAGACGCGTGCCCCTCAGAGTCTATCGTGTAATATGCACGTGGGACGTAGAACTGGCCATCTGGAAGGAACAACAAAAAAACAAAATCAATAATGATCATTTCCCACACTTTATTTCATACGAGCTGTTTCTCGCGATTTGCTTACGTGAAATTTAAAAATAAATTTTACTCGGCAATAACATAGATTTTTAGAAAACAAAAAATTGAAATCGGTTCAGTAGTTTTTGAGTTATATCATACATACAATAATACAAATCTTTCCTCTTTATAACATTGGCATAGATCATATTTATCTTTAACTAGCTTACGCCCGCGACTTCGTCCGCGTAGAAATAACAAAAAACAAAAATAAAGAGCCTATGTGTTCTTCCAGCCATGCCTTACATCTATGGCAAATTTCTTTAAGATCCGTTCAGTCGTTTAGGTCACAAACTCTAACAAACATCCATCTAAACTTTCGCATTTCTAATATTATTAAGATTTGTAGTCAGCGTTGTCAGATATTGTAAATACTAAATTCTGTTTTACGTACATTTACCATCATACAGAACTAACCAGAGAAAAATCGTACATTCACTCATTGCATAACCCATTCGTGGACCGAGATGGATCAAGGAATAGTGTTGGGTTTATCATAACTGCGTATGTTTTTATGCTTGATTCGAAATTCAAAATCCAAATTGCTGTTTATTACAATCTATTGGTGATTTGTTTATTTTTTTCTAATACAAGGTTATAAAAAATGTACGGTTCGTATGATAAAAAGGCACTTATTAGTCAGCGGTCTGAGATCATCATTACACGAGTATGTACATACGTTTAATTCGTGAGCTTTCTATAGCTACGAGTATGTCCTTAAAATATCGTGATTCGTGATCAAAGAACATGCTGTAGGTCATCTTTTGAGTAGCATTCAAAATGACAAAATACAGTATTCAATAGAAAAATATCTGATTACTTATTTGTATTGAAAACATCAACAAGTACATTTTAAGGCTTCATTTTAAATTAAAATTCTGCCATGTCAAGGGTATTTACCATCGAAATAGTCTATCTAATATATCGTATGAACTGAAAAAAAAAAACATAGATTCAGTACAAAATTGGACATCGAATTAGAAATCATTTTTCTTTAGACATTGGTTTAAAGAGGGAAAGAAGGATGTGGTTCAATTAGTAAGTTATGATATCTTAGCTTAGTTATGATAGCTTAGCATTATTAGAGTAAAGAATAAAAAAGTAATGAAGAAAGCTATGTAGTAAAAAAAAAACAAAATGTATTAGAATTATAACTTAAACTAAGCAAAGCTTGTAAAGCTTCCAGTCGATAGTTTCAATAAGAGCTTTTATAACATCTCATGCAAGATAAGAGAAACTTGCAAATGTACCTAACATTGTAATTAACTAGAAAAAAAATGTGCATTGCCCAGTTGCCACTATTCAAAACATAAACTCCTATAAATACCTTATGATAACAAGTCTTAAAATATGGTTGTCTCATTAAGATATTTGCTGAAAGCTGGTGGTCACATTTTGTGGAAATGAATGTCCATTTCTTAAAAGATATATTTATTTTAAATTGTACAATTTCTTGTAGTAGACATTGAAAGTAAGGCTGTGGTTTTCCTGCACGGGATTTACGGTTGAATGGTTTAGTTTCGTTTACCAGGAAAGTGAGATTGAGCATGCAAAACGAATTATTTACAATAGAGCTTTATCTGTAACGAATCCCAAATTACTCATACTAAAGCTAGAGGTAACGATGACAGGTTAAAGCGCGGCAAAAACAAGGGGGCCACTAACCTGCAAGCACCACGGCCGCGACGCCGACTAACACGAAAAGAGTGACGCACTGCATGTCGAGCGACGTGTTACCTCCACAGATGCTGCTTCAGAACTGGCTTTAGCACACTAGCGTGCACCTTATATAGAATATCACATCTCCCGTTGACGCCAGGCCTGCACTCGTGCATCACTTTGAACGCTAACGGTCGCACTTAGCAAAAAATTGCCATCAAATTAGCTACTTGATATGACTGAACTAGTAGCAAAAAATAGAGCTTCTTACATTAGGTTACTATCTTATTAGATTGGAATTTGACTTAATAAGATAGTTTAATAAGTTTTTTATCGGGAAGTGCTAATGAAGGTATTTTATATTATCTCACAAAATCAATGTTGGGTTTACTGAAAAAGTGTATCCATAGTGATCTTTGTGAGATAAATATTTGACAAATCGAACGCTTTAAGTTATGTATAGGTATATCATTAACACACAATCATAAAAGGGTACTGAAAACAATTGAAAAAAATACTCTCGTCTTATTAGAGTCCTCAAACAATCATAACAATCAGCTTTGTTGCGTTACTGACGTTTAGAAGAAAGCAATTTTGTGTTATGTGTATCCACAAAAAGCAGTTAAGCAAATAAAGATGATGTATTTAGTTGTTATTGTTCGGTTATTGTAACTATATTTATGTACAATTCCGTCTGAAATCTCGCTCTAGCGCCAATGCAATTCGCAAGCTTAAATGTGCTTTTTTTTAACAAAGTTTGGGATCGAATATTTAGACCTGTAGGTATATTTATATCGGATCTACCACTTTTTCCAATTAATAAATGAAAAATTAACTATGTTTTAAGAGATTTATTATAAAGATTTCCTAAATGCAACCAATTAAAGTTAAAATCCTCTGATATTTAGTTTCCTGTAGCAGATAAATTAAATTAAAAAACGTAACATTTAAGTGTAACATTTGTTTATCATTGTGCATCTGAAGGTAATCATGACAAGTATCGGCTAATGAATACGAGTAAAATGCAACATTAAATGTTCCGAGGCCACGTAACAATGCATTGCATTTTATGATTTTTACGAGTGCTGCCAATCAGTTACCATGCATTTGATAATTGATGATTTTAATTGGGTTTTTCAAAGGACTCTATGTTGACAATGATAAATGTGACGTCAGCAGATCAAGTCTACAAATGAGTTGCTTTAAACTTTTCTATTGTTGTTTGTATTAAATATAATATCTTCTATATCGTTTAACTATCGCGGGTCTTCATATGTTCTTTCGCTTACTTAATTATCGGTCAAAAGAAAAGGCTTTTTGAATCTCTTTCATGTTTATGGGTGATAGTTTCATCAAAATTATTTATAAATGTAACGACGCAAGTAAGTCAGTATTAAAATTAATATAGAAAAGGTCATAGCATAAAAATAATCAAGATATCGCATGTGAAGGATATTAATAAATATTTCAGTTATTGCATCATACATACAAATAAACACAATGATCAATTAACACAACGGTTTATTTTATATACGGATTTTACGCGGTTAGTAAGTAAGGTCCAATTTATGTCCTAAGTGTTATTCTCTGTTTGTTAATGTACGAGTAAATATCATTACTTTACATTACAGCTAACATTACACCAAGTTTCCATCGCAAATAAAATATAATCTAATATAATTCCAAGAGGAAACATAATAATAACTAAATAATCATTACTGTATGGTGTTCCATATAATTTAATAAGTATTCGTTCATATCTCGGCTCAAACAGTACTTACTATCAGTAAGTTTTGTATCTTTTAATTTCAAATTTTTCTATACAAGCTTTTGCCCGCGACTCCGTCCGCGTGGAATGAAAAAGAAATAAAAGTAAGTAGCCTATCTGTTCTTCCGGACTATCCTCTACATCTGTACCAAATTACATCGAAATCCGTTCAGTCGTTTAGTCTACAAACTCTAACAAACATCCATCCATCTAAACTTTCGCATTTATAATATTAGTTTAATTATGATATAATTTCACGTGAAGCGAATTGCTTCGATTTGACTGAGGCATAATTCGAGTTCAAAATGACGGAGTGTTCGGAGCACTTAACCTAACCAGCTTCTGTTGGTTTATATTAAAAGGAGATAAGGAATGTGAGGGTATAAAATAAAAATCAATATAAAATTAAGAAATAAATTCTTACAAAATTTATTTTGAAATAAAATTACATTGAAGCTTTTTAAATTGACAACATTCATGAAAATTATATAACATATGAGCATAATTTCAATTAGGAAGAATAATTTCACGCCGTCCTTTTTACACATACAAGTATAAAGAATAATTAGTCCACAAATTATCCCCATAATAAAATCAGTCAGCGCATGTCAAAATTACTTATAAACAATTTTTAACTATTATAATTTCAAAAAATAGAGCACCAAATTTAAAAAAAATAAACGTCGAACTATGCATTTACCTAATTAAAAAAAAAAACTTAAAAAAAATATTTAAATTGGAATCCACGATACATCAAATAATTTAATATTGTTACATATTTGTATTAAAAATGCAAAAATTATCAAATGGAATTTATCATTAGGTTGTGTGCACATTACATCGCCACGGTACACTTATCCACATATTTATACAAACATTTTAACCTAGACTTTTAGTTTTTACACTTTAAAGAGATATTTTTACAACCCTGTATCCACTATACTTTACAATATTGTGTAACTTGACAATGCAGGCTTGAATACATAAATAAAACAGTACCAAGGGTTACTATCGCCCTGGGCGTCTATGGCCCTTTTTACCAACTTATGTGTCACAAATTCGAAGACTTCTAACGCCCTTTTGTCTACCGCCCTGGGCGCCCTATCAGCACTGTAGTGTATAAAATCATTTATACAGAGATAGGCCCAAATCAAAACTCAATATTATTAATCTTGTTAACCAAATTGTATTTCAAATCAATATTTTTACGAGTATTAGATACATTTATGGTAATAAATTACATTATATTAAAAAAATGATCTTGTGTATTTAAATCGATTTTTTTTAATTAGTCAAACATGAAGACTAAAGTTCTTATTTAGTTGTCAAATTAAACAAATATCTTGGACAGCATTTACATTTCTATAACTAAAGAAAATCAATTTAATCGATTTTGTACTGAATTGTATAAAAAAATGAGCCTATCTTTATATTAATACTTTATTTATAAATAAATTACATGTCATGAAGATGCGCTGGTTTTTTTTACTGTAACTGTATTACGAAACAATTAGATTTTTACATATAAAAGTTTTTAAACACTCCTTAAAAATATGGAAGTTTTTTTAGTAACTAATAATTTTGTGCTTCAGTTATTAACATATATAAAAAAGTCGTGTATGTTACATTGAATGGGGATAAGGTCATGTTCCTTAGCGGTGAGGTTCACTTAGCTTTGAGCGCTTGTCGCTGCCGCAGAGTCTTGTTCGTGTTCTGATCTACTTCGGGTAAATCAGAATCATCGGTAGGGATCTTTTTAACTGTAAAAATGAATTAAAAGTGAAATTTAAATCCCAAAAATGTGTAGAGCAGTGATTCCCAAAGTGAGTCAGGGTTCTATAATCTGTGAAATCTGAATTAAGTGATTGAAAGTTGTATATAGGGGTCCACAAATATTTTATCAGATTTACTGGCTGGCTGTTATGTGCGTTCATGTAATAAATTAAAAAATCGACAAAAATGTTATTTACAAATAATTTGAATAATACTAGCAGCAAAACCATGAAAGGAAACAGTACAAGACACAATAGTTTGGGAACCCCTGGTATAAAATATGAAGAAAAACTTTTTACGTTATTAAATTTTAATTAAATTATTGTGTTTTTATGTGAAGAATGAATTGAGATAATTTTATTTTTGTATAAAAATGATATAATTACCCTTCTCCTTCTTAGGTTTCTCCTTCTTTTCCTTCTTGGGTTTGCTGAGAGCGAGCTGGCGAGCTTCCTGCCTTTGCTTGATGGCCTCCGTTATGAAGTTGAACATTAAGAACACCTAGAAAATAAAACATACTATTTATAAAAATAATTTTAAATTATCACATCTATAACAAAATCAAAGATTTAAAATCAATTATGATGACATCAATGTTCCTAACTGATGTCAACCGTTTCGTATCCAACTTTGAAATTCACAATTTCTAATCATATAATTCTATCCATCGTTTAAAGGTTCTAGAGATTTCCCGTGGACCACTTTGAGGACCACTGATGAATTCATTATCTCACAAAAAGATAACTCGATTTTGTTTTTCAGACTTTAAATCTGTACATATTGAGTCAAATAGCAATACCAGTATTTTGGACCACTGAGCAAACAAGACAAGACAAGCAAACAGAGGGTTATATCCAAGAGATTTTCCTTATTATTAGGAGAATTATCTATACATTTTCCTAGTATACATTGCCTGGACTGAGATAATGTAACTGTTTTGTTAGTATCTGTTACCTGGAATGAGACGAGTGCGGAGAGCGCGGCGACACGCAGCAGCAGCGGCGCGGCGCCCGCCAGCCCGTAGTAGAACGTCAGCACGCCCAGCACCAGCGAGCACAGTCGCACGCACACGAACACGCTCCCGTTCACCACGCCCAGGACTGATACACACACACACTTCACACTCTAGCACTGTGTCAACCCTCTATCACATAAAACTACTAATTCCATCAAAATTTCTAACAGATAGTTGGCGCAAAATGTTTAGATATTCGTTTCAGAATTCAGCCATTTAATAATAATTTATCAGCCATTAAACATATAATTTTTTAACAGGTACAATAAACAATTTTAAACCAAACTGGGTAATTAATTTTGTCTACTTTATTTATTTACAAATTTAATAGTATCTGTTTGCAATAGACATAAATTCAAAAGTTTCTTGCTATACTATTTAGACATTGTATATCTATACTAATATTATAAAGACTATAGATTTGTATGTATTGAAGTAACTCAAAAACTACTAAGCCGATTTCAACAACTCTTGCACCATTAAAAAACTATGTTATCAGAGAGTAACATGGGCTATATTTTTTAACTCCACATGGACGAAGTCGCGAACTGCAGATAGTTTCAATATAAATACTTACATTTGTCCAGGTAATCTTCACGTTCTCCTCTCATGATAGTGTTGAGACGGTAGCTGTGAGCAACAAACTCGGCCAACGAATGCAGCACCATCAGACACACTCCCACACGTTGGAATCTAAAACAATATATTAATATAGCAACTTCAACCACACAAACATCATAATTCATATCATAATAATATAAATGCAAAAGCTTTTTAAAGTCTGTAGCTTAAATGGTTGATTGAATTTCAATGAAATTTGGTATAAATGTATAGTCCAGAAGAACACATGGGCTACTCACTTCTGTTTTATTTTTAATTCGACGTAAACGGAGTCGCAATCAAAAGCTAGTGATCAGATAAAACATTGTAATATTTTGTACTACATGAATAAAATTTAAAATTTACGTTTTAAGGAATAAAAAATATTTACTACTTTCCAAACATTTAACAAAAAATTACAACAGTAATTACACAATGCATTAAAATTGTATAACATCTAGATTAAGTAATACCAATTGCATTACATCATAACAATTATTATAAATTACAAAATACAGTGTTGCTACACTGTAAAGCAATAACTTTTAACATTTTGCAATACTGCTAGTCTAAAAACTGTAAGTACTACAATTCAAAAATTTGAATAAACCAACTCTATGAATGTATTAAAACTTACTTGAATCCATATGCCACAGCTACAAAGGCAAAAGCAGCAGCTGCTTGTCTGATGCGACCTGCCCATTCATCCTTCTTAACCTTCTGGAAGTACAACTCGGGAATTGTGTGCACCCAGTACGCTGCCTGAACAACCCACCACAACTTCAAAAGGAAGCTCATTGGGTGATCGGGGTAACCTAAAATTAAGGTACAAAATAAATAATACAATTATCAATCTTAACATAAGCAATTAAAATATCTATTGAAATGAGGTTGTTAGATATTTTAAGAACAGTTGTTATCACTATCACATATATTTGAACTTATCTAAAGTTATCTCTTACATAATATTACACTCCAATACAAGGAGAAGAAATAATACTTACCATCCCAAAGGTATGAAATGTTGAAGATAAATCCTTCACGAAGAATAGCATCGCCTCCCCATAACAGAGTGACCAGGTGAAACACAACCAATTGACCAGACTCATTGAGTGCACTCAGTCTTGATTTAGACAGATGATATTTCTTTGATATTTTCTAAAATAAAGGGAACACATTATTTGTAACTTGTATTTCTGCTTTTTAATACTTATAAAGTCATCTACTTACATCTAAGATATACTCTTGCAGGATTGCATGCATTACTATGCACACTTGAGAGTAGAAAAATACTGCACAAATATCTTTCCATCCAGCTTCATACAAGAAGGGCTCTCCTCTTGGCACATCCCTAGTTGGCTCAGTACCACTGACATTATGATGTAGACTGATAAATAAACTCGCAATAGGACTTGTCGACTGCAAATTAACAAAATTAAATCTTTACGCATCATTCAAAAATTAGTTTTACAGCTTACGTGGCACCCGATTTTCACTTACCTGGACCATCAGACCGACTAAGAAAACCATAACAACGCACGAAACAATATCGGCATGATTTTGAATTACAAATTCGTGGCTAAGAATCGGTGGGTTCTTGTTAGATTTTCTTCCAATTGTAGGCTTTACACCCATCGTTCTTGTTAATAACCTAAAACAATATCCGTATCATGTATTTCACGTTAAATATAAGTGAAACACAGTTTCTATACACAATAAATCACTAATAAAACGCAGCTCTTAACAATATATTTTAAATTCCGTACCACTAGGCAGCCTCTTGCAGTTAATGAGAAATAAGAATAAAAAATTTACTGACAGTAATTCAACTGACGTGACACTTTCACTTGCTACGCGGTGAAACGTCAACAACCTGATATTGATGCTGATGTTTGTTGACGGCCGAGTTGGCACTTCGACCGCCAAAGCAGTGCTTTAATTTAAAATAACATTGGATTTTTGTGCTTGTAAAAGTTCATACTTGAGTCTAAATTTTTTTATAAATAAAAAAATTATTTTGAATATAGATAACCTATATTTTGCTAATAACTATTTGGTTTATTTTAAATACGAGTCTAAGAAGCGGAAGTTAAGTTAAATTTTTCCTTCCCCTTACTTTGTAATCTATGGTTAGAAATAGTTTAAAAATCAATATTTTTTCAGAATGGAAAAATTTGTTTTAAAATACATAAATAAATAAAGGTGTTAACAAGTCTTTAAAAATTGGAAGAAATAATTAGTAGTCACTCATACTCTTATAGTAAGCATTTACTGGAAGTTAATAAAAAACAAAAAGCAAATGTTAAAGAACCATTCATTGTTACAATGTAGGTTTCAACCACCGGGCCACTTGTACGTACAAAATGAGACATTACGAAGGGTTTGTGAAGATGAACAAAAATCCATACACAGCATCATCTATTTTATTGCAAATCCATGTTAATAAATATACTTTGGCAAAAAAAATCTTAGCTTTTATCATACAAAGGTCCACATTGAAATACTCTTTACATATAAATTAAATTAAAATGCCTTTGTTATGCTTCTTAAACTTTACTACTGGAGGCATTAATGGTATTAAATTCTAAGAAGTCCTTGAGCAATGTCGTCCGCCGTTTTTCAGCGATGTCCATTTGATTTTCTAAGTCTCCGCGGTCAGTCGTTTCCGCTCTCTCGACCTTCCATGACAGATTCTCTATTTCAGCCTCCAACTGAGCCTGGATGTCATAATAAAATTATTTATTAACAAGCATGTTAAAAACGGGTGTTTCTCATTCGGCCAATCGCGTACCGATCAATCGAGTGGGTTTTTTGGGACCTATGGAAATTTATTTTCCATTGGGCTGCTTCGGTACACTGATTGGCCAAATGGGAAACACCCAAAAAATCTATTGGCCTATTTCATTCAGAAAAAAGTAGCTTTCTAATTGCAATTTTTTTTTAATTGGCCGTGTATTTTTAAATTATTCGTTAAATACAAAGAACAAATCTTTACATTAAACATATCTAAAGCTAGAAAGTTGGTGATCAAATGTTTTCTATGGTTTACATTTTTACCTGTTGGTATTCAAATAACTCTTTCCTTGGTCCAACTTCCATATAATAAGCGTAAGGGTATGTGTACTGCAGCGTGTAACGACAGCGCTTCAGCAAGCGCGCAGAGTCCCACAGGTATTGCCAGTCTATCCACGTACCTTCGCCCGCCATTACCTAATCATTTAATCTTTACTGAGACCAGCGAAATTACAGGCAAGCCACAATTTTATATAAATTTATATTTATTCCAATATTATTTAGCAAAATAAAAATTTCAGACTAAAAATGGTTGCTATTTTACCTTTTGATTGATACGAGTTTTTAAACTAGCTAATGTTTGTTCTTCTAATTTTAATGATCTAGCATGATTCTCCCATCTTTCATAATAATGAAGATATTTCTTAAGAGCTTCTCTAGCCTGAAATTAAAAGTATTAATAGCCTGAATATAACAATAGACAAAGAAAAATGCATCATCAATGAAGTTATAAGAAAAATCCAAAGAAGAAAGATTGCAATTATAGTAAATTACAGCTTCATTATAATTAAGTAGAATAAAGTCTATGGTATGATGGCATTACAAAAGATCTTTGTCTTTTTCTTTCTTATACCTCTTTTTTTAAATAAGGTACTATTAAGATTAATGGATATTTTAAATAACAATGGCCAGTTTAATTACAGATAGATACAGCATCCCTAAATCAAAAGATAAAAAGGTCCAAGATGAAAGTGAGATTTTGTCTATATATACTTATTAGCTGCTGCTCGCGATTTCGCGCGTGTGATATTAAAAACAATAGTAAAGATATGTTACTCAGACAAAAAAAATCTTTTTAAGTTATTTCAATACATACATAAACCAAAAATCATTTCTCTTTATGTTAGTAAAGGTTAGAATTTATTTCTATGCATTTTAACACATTTTGTTAATTCTAGTGTAAATTCTAATAGGGGTGGGAATTACCTGAGCATGTTGGTTATCATTAACTAAATTAGGATCTTCCTTATAACGACTACATTCATAGTATTCAGAGCCGTGAGACTTCCAATCTCCTAAACAAACCCAACAGAAATCATATCTGCACGCTCCACACTGCATATGATTGCATCCTCCATTCTTCTCTATACAAATTTGACATTTAGGACAGTCCTGCAAAACAGTGTTTATAAAATGTAAAAGGTTTATAGAATTTTTATATGTCCTAATACTTTGAATAACAACTAAATCTGGATAACTATTAAGTTCATCGCATACATAAATATGGCAAATTGATTTGATGCCACCTCAATGGAAAGTAATATTTACTATTAAAAATTTATAAATATTTAACATAAACATAGGTTTACATTTGCATGCATTTTGAGAATCACAGTAAAATGAAAATTAGATATGTGATATGTGATATGTTCTCAGCTGTTATGAAAATGAATACTGCACTGGAGGATTGGTGCAACACTACATTATTGGCATACACATTCAGTCACTATCTGACAGCTGCCAATGTCACTCAGACATATCGGAATAGCACACTATTCTGTCGGGAGATAGTGGCATGAGTATATAAATTAATTATGTTACAGTTGTTTTTCTTAATATTATAATGTGGCATACAAGCAAGCAGCCCCCTGAATCCACCAAAATGGAAAGCAATCACTGCCCATAAACATCAACAATTACAGATGTGTTGTCTACCTTGACAGATGATATGCACATATAGAGGATATATCCCCTTCCTATGCATCCCCTTCATCATCAAATCAACTTTTCATCCCATCCTTTCCTCTTAAGAGAAGGGTGAAAAGGGAAAGGGACTAAATTAGGCCAATTAGGTATTAAATTCCTTTCATTACAAACCTTTGTATGAGCACTTATATAATTAGCAGTCTCAGAGTCATCAGCACATTTGGTCAGCCATTTACGTATGGTTGCACAGTCAGTGGGTGCGTGATGTGGAGCACCACACGTGAAGCACGTTAGCAACTCACAGCCTAAGCACTCAACACGCCGAGCACCCTCTCGGGCAACAGCATGATAAATCCACTGCAAATAAAGTTTACACTTAATAGGAAACACAGGAATATACATTAATAAGATATGTTATTCACAGATAAATTATCTTTCTGATGATGAAAGAATTTTAAAAATTGTCTCAGTAGTTTTCGAGTTATTTCAATAAATACAAAAATACAAATCTTTCCCCTTTATAGTATTATAGTATAAGAGTATACAGTACAGATTGATGTTTTTAAAATATGTTATATTATGTTTTTTAAACTATAACAATATATTTAGCCATCCCATGAAATTGATGATTGAATATTTTTATAATGCAAACATTTTCATTTAAAAGTTGTTTTATTTAATTAATCATTGTTTTCTTCTTTAGTTTGACCTTAAAAAGTTTTAATAAATTGTATACCTGACAATTTGGCCCAGGGCAAAATCTCAGTTCTGGATGTGACTTTACATGGTCTTTAAACATGAATTGCTGATAACGCTCTCGCAGGGCAGGGGTTGTTACATGAGATAGAACAAAGTCCTCGGGAGCCAACACTTCACAATCTTGTGCCATACATTGTATAGTATTGGAGACACCTGGAAATAACAATGACATGTTTCTACAGACATACTAATCCTTTCTAAAACCAGCTCATCATCAACTTGCCCTTATCCCCTATAGAGGCTTTGCACAGTATATGCTGCTCTTCCATACATTTCTATCAGCCATTATGTCAGAATTCACTCCCTTTTTAAGCATATCCTCTTTCATACAATCCATTTAAACTTTCTTTGGACTTCTTCTTCCTTAGTAGCCATCCACATTCATTCTTAACACTTTCTGGTTTATTTCCCCATTGTCTAAATCACTTCTTAAACCAGCTGTACATCTCTTAATAGATAGCAAAGGAGATGTAAATACATATTTTCATCACATGAAACTTTTTTGCAAACAACAATAAACATTGTTAATAATATATACCTTGCATTATTTGTACTTCAAAGTGCATTGTCCAACATTCATTACAAAAGTAATGTCCGCAAGCCAATGCACTGTACTTATGTATAGGTGGTGAAGTAGCACATATGGCACACATTTTAATACTTGAGTAGACCTGAGCTGAAGGAACTTTTGGCTTCACATGACTGTACATCAATACTTCATTTGCATTCTCTTTATATTTATTAATAATGTCTTGAGCATTCCATTCATATGCATGCAACATGACCTGGAATAATAAAAAGCAACCATGTTACCTAGTTTGCAAAGAGATACAATTCTTATGGGATTTTTATGATAAAAAAATACCTTAGCAAGTGAAGGTGTTATATGAAGGCTATTGCTAAGTAATTCAATAGACTCATTTAGCAACTTTTCTACTTCTTCTACTTTTAAGCAAGAGAACACAAAATATTCCGGGTCCGCTTTGCTACGATCCACTGTTTCCATGTCACAATCGTCTTGTCCTCCGTAGTAATCGTAGTCGTCGCCATCGTTGTCTGAATATTCCATATCAGATTCCGCCGACATATCTATATTTATTATGTGGCTAGCTTGGAAAAGAAATATGTATCACATTTGGAAGTAAATGCTTAGGGGAAATAAACATAACAATAAAGAAATCTTTAAAATATATCCTATTCGTTCCACTATTTTCCATCAAATTAAAATCAACCATAAACCACTAACAATTATTTGTTCACAGATAAGCTATTTCCAATTCTGTCAAGATTTGTCAGTCCTTTTAGTACAGATTAAAAAATGTGAGAAAGACCTCTCAAGAAATTGACCATAGACCTATGATTTCTTGAAATTCACACATCAATTCGATTGGAAATCGATTTTTACAGAAGTCCATGACATCACTAAACCTATTTACCCTCTCCCTCTCATGTCAAGTAAAGGTCACCTTGATAAGTTCACCTTCTCACGTACATTTTTCTATAAACGGTTTTAAATTTTTTGTGGTGCGTATGTTATTCCTGGATTATTTAAAACAATGTTAAAAATATTTTAAAATAATTTACAATCTTGGAGTGTTGCGATTTTCTAGATTTTAGATCATCATTGATCACAAATTTCAATTAACATTGCTTTTGCAGGTAATACATTGTAAAAAAATCTAAAAATGGATATAGCATCAACACAAAAATTTATCGAGAGAGGTGCCCATAAGGGCAAGGGCCTCGCTGTTTTTACCAGTGGTGGCGACTCTCAGGGTATGAATGCTGCAGTACGGTCAGTGGTACGAATGGGTATTTACTTAGGTTGTAAAGTTTACTTTATTCGCGAGGGCTATCAAGGGATGGTAGATGGCGGTGATAACATAGAAGAAGCCAACTGGTCATCGGTTAGCTCTATAATTCATAAAGGTGGCACTATAATTGGATCTGCACGGTGCATGGACTTCATGTGAGTATTTGTTTTGTTTTCTATTTATAAATGATACATTGTACCATATCTTCAGTTTATAGTACTCTCTTTGTTTTAATGAAAGGCATATGTTTTATTGTAATTATATATACAAATGGTGCAATATTCTCTATGTTTGGTATATCAATTTTTTTTACTGAACAGCAGCACATATATTATCTTTAGGATGTGATAACAAGTGTTATTTAGAATGTTTGTAAGACTCTAGAATTAGATTTTTTTATTATTATGAATTATTCAGGATAGACAATACAATATTTAAATCAATTGTGTTATTAACTTTATTGGATTTAACATTTTACTTTAATTACAGCAAAAGAGAAGGTCGTCTGAAAGCAGCTTTTAATTTAGTGACAAGAGGTATAACCAATTTGGTTGTCATTGGAGGTGATGGTTCCCTCACTGGAGCAAATCTTTTCCGTCAGGAGTGGTCTAGTTTGCTGGATGAACTACTGACAAATAATAAAATCACTAAAGACCAAAGAGAGAAATATAAGTATTTACACATTGCGGGCATGGTGAGTTGTACCATACAAGATTGCTAGTGTAATCATATTTAATTTTTATTAGAGAAGTATATTTATAACCTTTTCTAGGTAGGTTCTATTGATAATGATTTCTGTGGTACAGATATGACAATAGGAACTGATTCTGCATTGCATCGCATTATTGAAGCTATTGATGCCATAGTAAGCACTGCATATTCACATCAAAGAACATTTATTATGGAAGTCATGGGAAGACATTGCGGGTGAGATTTTATTAGCAATCAAACAACTTTTTAAAATACTTAAGTATCACTGAATGTGTTAATAATGATAATATATTGAAATAGATATCTGGCTATAGTCACAGCCTTGGCGTCAGAAGCAGATTTTGTGTTTATACCTGAGGCGCCACCTTCAGTTGACTGGAGAGATAAACTTTGTGATAAATTAGAACAGGCAAGCGATGCTAGCAAACATTGTACCCTTGTTTTTTTTCCTTTTTGTTACCAACACAGCTATCGGTTCCTTTCCTTGACTTACGAATCCTTTAGTTTTCTTGCAGTTTACACAGCACTTTGTACGGACGCTACTTATAGTTTTATTTGCGAAGACCCAGCGCCCCTCAATTGGGAAAAAAAGTTGTGTACAAAGATAGCTGAGGCAAGAATATTTTTTTTAGTATTTATGGGAGCAGGATCACTTTTCAATGTTTCATTTCACTGTTCTAAATTTATGGCATCTATGTTTGTCGCATTTATCAGTAGTCGAGTATGGAAGTCAATGAGCTGTAAAATCATCACCTCTTCATATTTACATCCTAATTGGGTTTCATATGCATGGATCATTATGTTCGGATGCTGCTTGTTGCAGTTATCTGGCATTAGTGGCCGCTCTGGCTTGCGAGGCAGACCAAGTATTTATCCCTGAGGACCCTGTTCCCAATAATTGGGTTGAAAAACTTTGCAAAAGATTACAGCAGGTATGCAGTTTTAATTGAGTGGCACTGTGTAATTGTAACACACAATAGTATTTATATGGCAAATAATTGGCAACATTGTTGGAATAACTTTTCTCTTTTCTTTGTACACTATTTTAAAGCAATTGTTTGTTTGCTTTATATTCCTAAAATCTTGGGTTTATGCTGAAGCTTATGATGTATTCTTCTAGCTTATATTGTGTGTTAGAAGTCAATGCTTGGGTAATGTATTTCTTTAATATCGCTTGTTTTTATTGGATATATATAATGAGAAAGATAATCTATATTCAAGTAATATATTATGTACTTTGTTACATAAAAAACAATGTACATAACTTTTTAAGACCAGTAGCACTCCACATAAACAGCATGTGCATGAGACATGTTAATGCTACATAACATTCTTTTGTATTTATTTTACTAATGGTGTTTGTGATATATTTTATTAAATAGAAAACATATCATTATGACCCATTCATTTAGGAAAGAAAATCGGGCCAGCGTCTCAATATTATCATAGTTGCGGAAGGTGCAATTGATCGTGAAGGGAAACCGATCACCGCAGAGCTTGTAAAGAAAGTCGTCGTGGACAATCTTCAACAAGACACGCGTATTACTGTGCTCGGTCACGTACAGCGTGGAGGTTCACCGTCTGCGTTTGACAGAATTTTGGTTAGTGTTATGTTAATCTTATAATCCACATGTAGTATTTACCCTTTAATTCGACGGAGTATTTTGTACCGAGAATTTTTTTTTTTTGTAGTAAATATACTAGTTCAGTAGATTTTTTTTAATTAGTTGGTTGTCACACTGGCCACTATCGAATTAAGGGTTTACTAGTCCGCATATGGTTGTAATCGTTTTAACATTATGTTTAAATGTACTAGATAATCTATGTAAAATTCTTGTAACAGGGTTGTCGTATGGGAGCCGAAGCTGTAATGGCTTTAATGGAAGCAACTCCTGAAACAGAGTCTTGTGTTGTTACTTTGGATGGAAACCAAGCTGTACGTCTACCACTTATGGAGTGTGTACGTCGAACGAAAGCCGTTTCTCAGGTATGCTGTTCATACCGTTTTATACATTTTGCGTCTAATTTTATGTAGTTGATTCGATATAAGATATGTTACGTTTTTTGTAGGCAATGGCAGATAAGAATTGGGATTTAGCGGTGCAATTGCGCGGGCGCAGTTTTGCACGCAACTTGGAAACTTACAAAATGTTGACCCGATTGAAACCCCCTAAGGAAGCGTTTGATGAATCTGGTAAACCATCTGTAAGTAGCCATTTCACTTATTATTTAATTAAACATTTAAAAAGTTAACGATTCAAACAATAACAAAACAAACAAAATAATATATTAATATATTCTTACAGTTAGGATTTTAGTGTTGTGACCAAGAATTTAATTTTAATCGATTAATTGTATCGATTAAAATTAATATAAATCGAAATAAAATATTTTGTTCAAGAGTAAGGTCGTCTCGTTTGAGGTATATTTTACGTATTAAGTTTATCTGTAAGTAATTTGTCCGTGTATTGTTAGGAAGGCTACACACTCGCGGTGATGCACGTGGGCGCGCCGGCGTGCGGCATGAACGCGGCCGTGCGCTCCTTCGTGAGGAACTGCATATACCGCGGCGACACCGTACTCGGCATACACGACGGGATTGAAGGTTTCATCAGTGGAAACATTGTGAAGATGGATTGGTAATTAATTTCTATTTTGTTCTTACTAATATTATAGATGCGAAAATTTAGATGGATGGATGGTTAGAAGGTATGTCCGAAACGGCTCATTGGATCTAAATTAAATTTGGTACAGATCTAGAAATGAACCAGGAAAAAATATATAGGCTTCTTAATATTGTTATTTTAATTCCGCTCGCACATAGTCGCGGATAAAAGCTTATTTAAAAAATAATAGAAACGCAGTTACTGCAACTGTTAGCATATTCCTACCATTTTTAATTCTGCGAATTTCAACTTAAAATTTAAATCTAGTTCCAATATGTTTTCTTAATTTATAGGTCAGATGTAACCGGTTGGGTGGCTCAGGGAGGGGCCTTCTTGGGCACCAAACGTACTCTGCCCGGAGACAAAAAGGGGGAGATCGCTGCACGCATCAAGCAGTTCAATATACAAGGACTTCTTATCATCGGTGGTTTTGAGGTACGAGTACATTCAAATTGAAATAAAACGAGCTGGTCTCATGCGGTATCATCCACATGAAATTATATTATTGTTTACATTGGAAAACGTTTCAAATGTCAAAATTTAAAATAAAAAATGACAACGAAGGCCTTGACATTGGATAACATTTCCTTCCTACTTCCTCGATGTTGTCAGCATGTAGTTTTCATCCCTTTCCTACAAGTTTTTTCAAAATTACTTACTTCCTAAGTTAAATAGCATGATAATATATAGCCTAAAGCGTGTCGTAAGTGTAAGGCTTTTTATTAAAATTAGAATTCAAAAATATACTGCGTTTGCTGACATCCTATGTAACTAAGTAGTATTTACGTTTTTGTATTAGTAAGTATGTTTTTTTGAATAGTAGATTTTCGTTAATTCGCTATTTCCTTTAACCAATCCAACTAAATTAACCTTTTACCTTTAACCAACCCAAGCAAGCAAACATGGTTTATAACAATAATCGAATGGCGAGATTCGAACCTTCGACTGTAAGATCTGTAGTCCGTATCCTAAACCATTAGGCTATTAGTTAGCTTCAAATAATGTATTAACGTGTTTTTTTCAGGCTTATCAAGCTGGTGTTGAGTTGTACGAGTCCCGGGCGCAGTTCCCGGAGTTCTGCATCCCGCTGGTGGTGATCCCCTCCACCATCAGCAACAACGTGCCCGGCACGGACTTCTCGCTCGGCGCTGACACGGCTCTTAATGAAATCACAGAGATTTGCGACCGCATCCGACAATCTGCTCAGGTTATATCATATTTTCATACTAATATTAAACTATTCCTACTAATATTATAAATGCGAAAGTATTAATGGATGGATGGATGATATACGCAAATTTAAAAAGGTTTAGCTTACTATATTTTGTTTAAATTCTACGCAGACGAAGTCACGGGTAACAACTAGTTAACATGATCATAAATAATTGATTCTAACTGTCTTGTTTTTCATTATATGGAAACTAAATTGTTCGTATATTTTTAATTTCAGGGAACTAAACGACGTGTCTTCGTTATCGAGACTATGGGAGGCTATTGCGGATACTTAGCGACTTTAGCTGGTATGTATTTTGTATTTCGATTTATAAAATATTTTATAAGGTGACAAACGAGCAAGCGGTCACCGTAATTCGCCAAAATAGCGAAGCAATCACTACATATAGATATGACCAACAGAGTGGACGAACAAAAATGTATCTGGTACGCTTAATTAAAAAAATGTACACTTATTTCTATACACCGTAATGATAATTTATCTTTTTTATTTACCAGGTTTGGCTGGCGGCGCGGACGCAGCTTACATCTACGAGGAGAAGTTCTCCATCAAGGATCTGCAGCAGGACGTGTACCACATGGCGTCCAAGATGACGGGCGGCATCCAACGCGGCCTCATCCTGCGCAACGAGAAGGCCAACGATAACTACAACACTGAGTTCATATACAGACTCTACTCAGAAGAGGGCAAGGGGCTCTTCACTGCTAGGATGAATGTGCTCGGTTAGTATTCTTTTAATAATAATATTTTTATTTCAGACAAGCTGTCGCCTGCAAACTTCGTTAACACGGATTTTTAAAAAAGTCATCTATCACATTCCCGCGTGCATCTACCTTCTACCAGCTATCTTTTAAAGTCCCGTCCAAATCGTTCCACCCGTTCTGATAGCGGTCAGGTCGCCGTTTTGACAGCGTGGAATTAAAAAAAAATGTAGCCTATAATATGCCCGTCTATGTCAGCTACCCTTCAGTGAAAGTCCGGTCGTAATCGGCTCAGCCGTTTCAGAGATTACCCGGAACAAACGTGGTTTGCGGACAGACAGACAAGATATTTTTAAATGCGATTTTTAATTGCGTTATCAGCAACGCAAATACACCATCTTCCCGGAATCTGGATTTTTTTTTGATAATACAAACAGACACTCAAATTTTATTATATGTATAGAAATTAGATATAGATAGATTCAAATTAAAAAATATTAATTTGCGATTTTATAACATTGTGGAAATTAGGTCTATGGTTAAGATTGTTATAAAAATACTGCTCTATCAAAGATACATTAAATGTGACCAAAATTTGAGTTTCGTAATTAATGAATTTCATAAAACTAAATGAAAGAAACTAAATGAAAAGGGTTTTCAATCGAATAATCATAGAACTCTACTGCAGTGACTTGTACGCCCAGTGTACATTACCCCAATCTGGCGAACTATTTTGTTCCCTTATCTGACAGTGACGTAATTTGAAGCTATCTGAGTCTCTATCAGCCATTGACCAGGTCCAAGTTTTATATTAACGTCGATTCTTCAATTAATACTGTCAAGACTGAACGTCTGCAGTTTTATTATAAAACACATATTGTCATCCCTTTCATTCTCTTTGACAAAATAAACACAACAATATGCATAAATAAATTACAATAGTCTATACTAATGTATAACAATTTTTATCGCAGGTCACATGCAACAAGGCGGCTCCCCCACGCCGTTTGACCGCAACATGGGCACAAAGATGGCCGCCAAGTGTTTGCACTGGCTTGTCGAGAATATCCAGAAAGGCCCCGCTAACACACCCGACTCCGCTTGCCTGCTCGGAGTTGTTAAACGACAATATAAATTTACACCCCTTGAAGATCTGAAAGGACAAACTAACTTCGCGTAAGTATATTGAAGTTAAAATTTATTAAAATTTAACAAAGTACATTCTTGCCAACAATTGTTTTTGTAAATAAACAGAGCAGGCATAGTTAACACTTCACTTAAAACGATTTTCACATAATCTCACTAGCGCTACTTTTTTTTTTATATCTTTATATCCGGTAGTCAAAACCACTAACAAACAAATAATCGAAACAAGAGATATTACCGTACAAAGAAATTACCGGTGAAAAAATATTCCCTGTCTTTTCTATATATTTCTTAAATAAGATTGTTAATCCTTAGTAATATTTGACATTCAGGCAGAGAATACCCAAGCAGCAGTGGTGGATGAAACTCCGTCCCTTACTCCGTATATTGGCGAAGCACGACTCTACCTACGAGGAGGAGGGAATGTACATGACGGTCGAGCAAGGAGAGATAGATTCCGAACACGTCATATAAACGCCCATTAAACTGCTTTGACAAAGTAACATTCGGTTACCCCTATCGCTAAAAGTCAATGCATGGAAATGACTTTAATTTTTTTTAATTATTATTGAGAATTTTACAAAAACACAAATTAATGATGTAAACAAATATGGCCCCGCAAAAACTATATGATTTGTCCGCGGGTTTGGTGTTACAATATTATGTAGAGTGTTACTACACTATACTTAGTTGTATAACATTTTTTTATGTGTGAAATTATATAAAATACATACATACATAATATACTGTATATAAAGAAAATACTCTATTCATGGAATATTTTAATTAAGATGACTTTCCAAACGCTTAATAAACAATTTAAATTTTGAACTTAGATTTGCTATTTCAGGTGGTAACTCGTTTTGTTGATTTTACTAGCGATATCGTTAATCGAAAGTTACTTTGTAGATCTCCAAAGGTTATCATGTTATTTTTTAAATGAATATTGCCATATATCTCGAAATTACTAACATACCCATTTGGTAGGATTGTTATTAGCTAGTGATATGCATTTTTGTAGCTTTTTTGTATTGAGTTTAATAGTTATTAGTAGAATTATGTTTATTTTTATTAGATAAAATACTCAATGTAGTGAGTATAGTACTGCTTAGTAATTATGTAATTTCCTCAAATTTTGCCAATAGGCATGTTGCTGATGTTGTGATTAATATTTGTAAACAAAATTAATTTTAATGTTTAATCTAGTTTAAATCAGGACATTTAAAAAAATGGAACGTTTTTTTATGTAAAAATCAATAAACAATCAATTGCTATTTATTTTCATCAATTTATTGTATTATTTTTGATACAGGTATTATAGAGGGATTTACTTCAATTTGTATAGTTATTAGCTATTCCATCCTACACTTTCAAGTTTACAATGTCTAGTCCAGTCCATCTAATAATTAACGTGTTTAATGTGAAACAATGTTTTTACCTGACAATGTTCCATGGCAACCTGCATCAGTATTTAACGACATTTTAGCAATTGGTTTAGATATTGTATAATTTATTTTACATAAATTATTATTCTATAAAAATAAAGACAAAATTTATAAATAGTTTTATGAAATGTTACTTCATATTATGTTTTATAATATTAAAATGAGCTTTATGATTAAAGTTGTTTTATTAAAAGCGGCGGTGCTTTGGCGTCATGGTGAGATAGGGCTTTTAGTGAATATTCATTTCTTACCAAATAAATTGTTATAAATGCATTTGGCGTTTTTCCGCGAGATAAAAGAGTAGTTATGTATATTATCACAGTGTTATGATGGTCAAGGTCATCTGCACTGCCCTCCCCGCATTTGCAAATATAGGCAGATATAGAAATGTCTGCACAATTAGTGTTGTAAATGAAACCTATTTGATGTTTTGCAGTGTAAGACTGGCTGTATTTAAATAATGACATATGTTAATTTAGTTTGAGTTGTTCGAATGTAGAGAAAAAGAACATGTCTAGAATAGTATAAAAATAATATCTTGTTTTTATACACCGTTGTATTGATATTAGTTTATATGAGAATAAATAACAATCTTTATTTATTTAATCATTTTTGTGTGCTGGCTAAACCAAATTCCTATCAATTAGTTACTGTTTGCTTTAATTTTATTGAGTCGACCAGAACAAGCAATACAATAACGTATACAGACAAAGTTATCTGACCCGGTAGGCATGAATTAATCTAACTTACAATAGCTCACTAGCGCCCAAGTGTCAATGTTATCAAACTATAATATGCAGGACACATACAGATGTAGACCTCTCGACATAAAAAGATTGCTTTTGTTTTAAAAGTTAGGGATGCTCGTGGTCGATAAAGTGCTTTATTGTAGTTGGTCTATTCAATTGATTGAATACGTTTTATATATATATTTTTATCTTGTTAATATTAAGTATTGTTAAATATGAAGGATTTTTTGTGTTGTTCTATACGTTTTAAAGGACTTTGGAATAGCCTGCAGTCTTCTCTGTCAAATAAAATGTATGACGCCATACCATACCGTGTGTATTAGTGGTAAAATTAAACATTTCCAGTGCAAGTTTAATTAATTTTAAACAAATTAAAAAAAATGGTATTTTCCTTCCGATGTACCATATAAAATATAATATATAAAAATCGATATAAAGATCGCGTGGATTATTGTATCGATCCACTGAACAAATCGCAGACGCACATCCCTAGTCAGGCTTATCAAAATGGCCACTCTGAATGATTCAAAAGCGCTTTTGCGCCAAGTTAAAAGTGTGCAATTTGGGATATTATCGCCAGATGAAATTGTAAGTTTTCTTCAAATATTTGTATTGACTGATATTTTCGATATAAAGTACAAAATTCTAAGTTTAAATTTGGAAAAACCTATGTTTGCAGTATTTTGTTGGTTTTTTCCTTCTTTTTCTTTTATATTATAGTCAGGGTATTACAATTACAATCCTAACAAACTCGACGACATCCACTAGTCAACACTAGCGACGGACTGACTAGTGGTAACCCTACTGCCTAGTTCAAATTTCTCGAAATAGACGTCGTTATCGTAAATCCGGAAGGAAGTGAGAAAAAAAAACTTATAGCCATAGATAGGTATCATCTATGGTAACAGGCTGTAGCCCAATGACGCCTTTCCTGGCATATTTTTTTGATTAAAAAAAAACTAATTTATTTGCTGAATGTAAAAATCACGATTAATATGGAAAATAAGTATAAGAAAATCATCTGTAGGGGAAAGAAAAATCGTGTTATTTATAAATAAATGTAAATCTTTGAATATACAAGATATCTTTGTCTCATTTGGATTAACTATAGTTAACCAGTTTTTTTTACGATTTTCCTGTGAGCCATATGCCATATCGCTCCTCGCTCCTAGCACATTGCAGCAAAGCCAATGACCTCATACGTATGCAGGACTGACTGACTACATGCCATAATATATTGTACCTACTGATTACTGATTGTAGTTATCTTGGTGCTGACGGTCGCAATGAACATTTGCGGAAGGGTGACAAGATACGACAATTGGTATATTTATTGTCCACTTTGAGCAAAAACGCACTTACTAATATTATCTTACTAATATTATAAATGTGAATGTTTAGATGGATGGATGTAAGAGTTTGTAGCTTGAACGGCTAAACGGATCTCGATGAAATTTGGCATAGAAGTAAAGGATAGTCTGAAATAACAAATAGGCTACTCATTAATGTTTATTTTAAATTCCACGGGACCAGAGTCGCGGGCGAAAGCTATTCATTCTATATTAATGTTGTAAAGAGGTAAAATTTGTGTTGTACTACGTAAATACATAAAAACGGCTTGAGTGAAAATTGTTTAATTCTAATATTTATACTATTACTTAATTGAATTTTAGCGTCGAATATCGGTCACTGAAGAGGGAATTCGCTTCCCTGAGACCATGGAAGGCGGAAGGCCAAAACTTGGCGGTCTTATGGATCCACGACAAGGGGTGATTGACAGAAACGCGAGGTGCCAAACTTGCGCAGGAAATATGACAGAATGTCCTGGCCACTTCGGCCATATCAATTTAGCTAAACCAGTATTTCACGTTGGTTTCATGACTAAGACCATAAAAATCTTGAGATGTGTTTGCTTTTACTGCTCTAAGCTGCTTATTAGTCCGGTAAAATGAGGGTTGTTTTATATTTTGCATATTATTTTGTAAAATTAACCTTACCTTGTGACCATACTATTTTATTTTTAAGACCAATCCAAAGATAAAAGAAGTAGTAATGAAATCAAAGGGACAACCACGTAAAAGATTGACATATGTGTATAACCTTTGCAAAGGTAAATATATTTGTGAGGGTGGTGAGGATATGGATATTTGTAAAGAAGGGGAAGAAGCTAAAAGAGGGTCTGGACATGGTGGTTGTGGCCACTACCAACCCTCTATCAAACGTCAAGGTTTTAATATAACAGCTGAATGGAAACGCGCAAATGAAGATACCCGAGAAAAAATAACAATAATAACAGCAGAGAGAGCGTGGGAAATACTTAAACACATAACAGGTACAAATATCTATGAATTTCTGTAAACAAAAAAAAAAAACACAAAACAAATTTGAGGCTTCACCTCATATTGGTGGTATGAGTGCTAGAAGTGAGTACCTTAATTTATTCCGGTAAAATAAAGTGCCTTAACTATTTTATAAAACATTTTGAATTTTTTTGTGTGTGTTTTCGATTGTTTTAGATGAGGAATCATTTATTTTGGGCATGGATCCCAAATTTGCAAGACCGGACTGGATGATTGTGACAGTTTTGCCTGTGCCACCATTGTCAGTGAGACCAGCTGTGGTCATGTTTGGAGCTGCAAAAATTCAAGATGATTTAACTCATAAACTTGCTGACATTATCAAGGCCAATAATGAATTGAAGAGGAATCAACGGTTGGAAGTTCCGGGTCATATTCTTGCTGAAAATATAAGACTGCTACAATTTCATGTAGCTACATTTGTAGACAATAATTTGCCAGGCATGCCCGAGTTAGTACGTCTTATCAACACTACTTTTATTTCAATGAGATTACTTGATTTTCAAAAGATCTATATAACCACATGTATTTAATATATATTTCAGAGCAACACAGAAAACAGGAAAACCTCTAAAAACGATCAAAGACCGGCTGAAGGGAAAAGAAGGGAGAATTAGAGGAAACCTTATGGGAAAAAGTGTAAATTTCTCAGCTCGTACCGTAATTACACCTGATCCAAATCTAAGCATTAGCCAAGTAGGAGTACCAAGGTCAATTGCGCAAAATTTAACATTCCCAGAGTTTGTCACTCCATTTAATATTGAAATGATGCAGGAGTTAGTTCAACGAGGAAATGCCGAATATCCTGGGGCTAAATATATCTTACGAAACAATGGAGAAAGTATCGATCTTCGACTCCATCCTAAACCATCAGATCTTCATCTGCAGTATGGATACAAGGTTGAGAGACATTTAAGAGATGATGATTTGGTTGTATTCAACCGGCAGCCTACCCTCCACAAGATGAGTATGATGGGTCACAGGGTGAAAGTTCTGCCTTGGTCAACATTCCGTATGAATTTGAGTTGTACATCTCCTTACAATGCTGATTTTGATGGAGATGAAATGAATTTACATGTCCCACAGTCTATGGAAACTCGTGCAGAAGTTGAAAATATTCATATTACACCTCGGCAAATTATTACACCGCAAGCCAATAAACCTGTTATGGGTATTGTACAAGATACTTTAACTGCTGTCAGAAAAATGACAAAAAGAGATGTGTTTCTTACTAAAGAGCAAATCATGAATCTGCTTATGTTTTTGCCTACATGGGATGGTAAGATCCCACAGCCTTGTATTCTGAAACCACAACCACTGTGGACTGGTAAACAGATATTTACTTTAATCATTCCGGGAAATGTGAATATGATTAGAACACACTCAACCCATCCCGATGAAGAAGATGATGGACCATACAAATGGATATCACCGGGAGATACAAAAGTTGTTGTAGAGCACGGAGAATTGCTTATGGGTATCCTATGTAAGAAAACTTTGGGTGCTTTAGCAGGTTCCTTGCTTCACATTTGTATGTTGGAATTAGGCCATAAAACAGCTGGCCGCTTTTATGACAATATTCAGTCGGTAATAAATAGTTGGTTATTACTGGAAGGCCATTCTTTCGGTATTGGTGACATTATTGCTGATTCACAAACATACCAGGAAATTCATCGTGCCATTGTAAAGGCCAAACATGATGTCATAGAAGTTATACAACAAGCTCATAATATGGAACTGGACCCAACTCCGGGTAAAACTTTCGAAATTCAAGTAAGTCGTATTCTCAACGACGCTAGTGATAAAGCTGGTGAATTAACTAAAAACTCCTTAACAGAGTACAACAACCTCAAGGCTATGGTAGTCGCCGGTTCTAAAGGTTCAAATGTTAACATATCTCAAATTATTGCTTGCGTGGGGCAACAAAACGTAGAAGGTAAACGTATACCATTTGGCTTTCGGAAGCGAACATTGCCACACTTTATTAAATACGATTACGGTCCTGAATCAAGAGGCTTTGTAGAAAATTCATATCTAGCCGGTTTGACGCCATCTGAGTTCTATTTTCATGCTATGAGTCGTCGTGAAGGACTTATTGATAAATCGGTTAAAATTGCCGAGATCGGATATATTCAACGTCGTTTGATGAAAGCATTGGAATCTGTCATGGTACATTATGATGGAACCGTTCGTAACTGTGCCGGGCAATTAATTCAGTTAGTCTATGGCGAGGATGGTTTCGCTGGTGAGACTGTGGAATTCCAGAATTTACCTACTTTAAAACTGTCCAACAAAGCATTTGAAAAGAAATTCAAATTTGATCCTGCTAATGAGAGACACCTGAAACGAATTTTCAATAAAGATATTATAAAAGAGTTAACTGAGTCCGGGCACGTAATATCGGAACTTGAAAGCGAATGGGAGCAGTTATCAAAAGACAGAGAAATATTGAGACAAATCTTCCCTAGCAGTGAATCGAAGGTTGTACTTCCTTGTAATATCCAGAGAATGATTTGGAATGTACAGAAGATTTTCCATATTAACAAAAGAATGCCAACAGACTTAAGTCCTACAAAGGTCATACAAGGAGTGAAAGATTTGTTGAAGAAATGTGTTATTGTAGCAGGGGAAGATCGCTTATCTAAGCAGGCTAATGAAAATGCTACGCTTCTATTCCAATGTTTGGTGAGATCAACACTGTGCACGAAATTTGTTTCGGAAGAATATCGTTTGTCTAGTGAAGCCTTCGAATGGCTAATTGGAGACATTGAAATTCGGTTCCAGCAAGCACAAGTAAACCCAGGAGAAATGGTCGGAGCTTTAGCTGCACAGTCACTTGGTGAGCCTGTCACTCAAATGACATTCAACACTTTCCATTTTGGTGGTGTATCATCCAAAAACATATCCCATGGTGTACCGCGACTAAAGGAAATCATCAATATATCAAAGAAACCAAAAGCGCCATCTCTAACCGTATTTTTGACAGAAGGTGCGGCCCGAGACGCTGAAAAAGCTAAGAATGTGCTGTGCAGATTAGAACACACAACTTTACGAAAGGTCACAGCAAATACAGCAATCTACTATGATCCAGATCCACAGAACACTGTTATTGCCGAAGATCAAGAATTTATTAATGTTTACTATGAGATGCCTGACTTTGATCCCACCAAGATCTCGCCTTGGCTATTGCGTATTGAATTGGATCGCAAGAGGATGAAGGATAAGAAATTGACTATGGAAGAGATCGCAGAAAAAATTAATGCTGGATTCGGAGATGATTTGAACTGTATATTTAACGACGATAATGCTGAAAAACTTGTACTGCGAATAAGAACTATGAATAATGAAGAGAGTAAATTCCAAGATAACGATGAAGAGACTGTGGACAAAATGGAAGATGATATGTTCCTACATTGTATTGAGGCCAATATGTTGTCTGACATGACACTACAAGGCGTAGAAGCGATAGCCAAAGTATACATGCATTTACCTCAGACTGAAGCCAAAAAACGAATGATAATCACAGAACAAGGCGAACTTAAGGCAATTGCTGAATGGTTACTGGAAACTGATGGTACTTCACTCATGAAAGTCCTTTCCGAGAGAGACGTAGATCCGATACGAACATTTTCTAACGACATTTGTGAAATATTCCAAGTGCTTGGCATTGAGGCTGTTCGGAAATCAATAGAAAAAGAGATAAGTGCCGTGTTGCAGTTCTACGGCCTATACGTAAACTATCGTCATCTCGCTTTGCTTTGTGACGTGATGACAGCAAAGGGTCATCTCATGGCTATCACCCGTCACGGTATTAATAGACAAGACACTGGAGCCTTAATGAGATGTACATTCGAAGAAACAGTGGACGTTTTACTAGACGCAGCCAGTCATGCTGAAGTGGATCCATTGAGAGGAGTATCAGAAAATATAATCATGGGACAGTTACCGAGAATAGGAACAGGTGAGATCCTCTACATTATGTTTTTTTCTTTTAAACCGTAAGGTAGCGAACAAGCTTACCTGGATTAGTAGAACTGAACTGGAATATCTTAGATTTAGAAAATTAAATTAAACATGAACTATTTTTCAGGGTGTTTTGATTTGCTACCTGATGCCGAAAAGTGTAACCAACAAACATTTTTGGGCGCTCCTTGGGTAGGCACGGGGCTGGGTACAAGTATGTACTTTGGCAATGGGACATCGTCTAGGACACCATAGAATACTCCATAGTCACTTCAGAAGACAGCTGGGTGTTTTTGCAATAACTGGGTCAAGAATTTTAATAATGCACCAGCATGGTTGCCCATCAGTCAGTGCCTAGCCATTATGAGCCTTCGTTGTCATCCTAGGTCTCCCCGTAGAAGCTATTTCGACTACTCGGGTTTACTCCGGAGATTTATTACGGAGATTATACAATCTAATCCCACTTCTCCACATTACTCACCGGCGAGTCTTGCATCTTCCCCAACCTCGCCACACTACTCAAGGACCTCGCCGATTTGTTTTTTGAAATATAAGTTACCATAAAAAAGGTTTTCTTTTTTTCTAATTACTACAATTTGAATATGCGACTTTTAACTCAGAATCCAGATCACGTTGTCAATGCAACGACTATGAAGCCAGCTAAAATGTAACAATATATGTATTTAATATCTCATATAGAGATTTATATGCATTTTTTTTACCTAATTTTGATAATTCTCCTTTTAGACTACCACTGTTATCCTCCTATATCTTAAAAAAATATGTATTTTTGAGTGCAAATTAAAATAGTTTTTTTTTTTTTATAATATAGGTTATGTAATAAAACCGCATAAATTAGAAAATAAATACCCTATAACATCTTTTATATCCTCCTCTTGATGTGTGGTGATTTTTTTCGGATCCTAAATTATTTTTTTTTGTTCATTATTATAGTGTTGACAAGGATTAAAAATTAATTAATTTATTTATTTATTTAAAAATGTTTTGGTGATTGGTCAACAGTTCATTCGGCTCAATAGGAAACCGATACTTTTTTTTATGTTATGGATGATTTATGAACTTTTTGTGTAATTCATTTTATAGTAGCGGCAACATTGATAAATTAACAACAACTCCATTTCTCAAGTTCTTCCAAATTTCAGTAGCAACACTGGTCTTCACTTCGTGCAGTGACATGTCGCTCTTGTCCTCAAAATGGCCACCACGAACGATTCAAAGGCGCCTTTGCGCCAAGTTAAAAGAGTACAATTTGGTATATTATCACCAGATGAAATCGTAAGTATTCTTTAATTACTGTATAAACTAAAATTTACAAAGTAAAGTATAAGATTCTGTGTTTGAAAGCATGTGTTAGCCATGATTCTGATGTTGTTCCTAGGTTGTCGACTTGATCACGACTTTCGTAAATGTGATATAAATTTTCCTTATTCAAGGATTTCGCTTTCTAACTTATTACCGAAAATAAGCGTAAATTTACAATAAACTGCTATTGTTATTAAATTTGTCATGTAAGAAATTTGTTACCCAATGTTTAACCGAAACAACGACGTCAATGAGATAACACTTAACAAAGTTTTGTTACACTTGATTAAATTTTAGCGACGTATGTCCGTCACTGAAGGGGGCATTCGCTTTCCTGAAACCATGGAAGGCGGAAGGCCGAAACTTGGCGGGCTTATGGATCCACGACAAGGGGTGATTGACAGAAACGCGAGGTGCCAAACTTGCGCAGGAAATATGACCGAATGTCCTGGCCACTTCGGCCATATCGATTTAGCTAAACCAGTATTTCACATTGGTTTCATTACAAAGACAATAAAAATATTGAGATGTGTTTGCTTCTACTGTTCCAAGCTGCTTGTTAGCCCGGTAACTATAATTTAATATGTTTCATATTAATATTGTAATAAAAAACTTAGGTTGTAACCTTACAATTCTATTTTTAAGACAAATCCAAAGATAAAAGAAGTAGTTATGAAATCAAAGGGACAACCACGTAAAAGATTGACATATGTGTATGACCTTTGCAAAGGTAAAAATATTTGTGAAGGTGGTGAGGATATGGATATTGGTAAAGAAGGGGAAGAAGGTAAAAGAGGGTCTGGGCATGGTGGTTGTGGTCACTATCAACCCTCTATCAGACGTCAAGGTTTAGATCTAACTGCTGAATGGAAACATGCAAATGAAGATACACAAGAGAAGAAAATAATAATAACGGCAGAGAGAGTGTGGGAGATACTTAAACACATAACAGGTACAAAGAGCAATTAATTTTTGTTTATAACAAATAAAAATATTAACAACAATAGAGCCAAAACTATGTTGAGGTCAAGTAGTATGAGGTAAATAACATTATTCATTTTGATAAAGTTGTAGATTTATTTATTTGATATAAGAAGTCATATTGAGTAGATTTATGTTTATTATGTATTAACTTTGTGTTAGTTTTTAAATAGATCTTAATTTTTAGATGAGGAATCATTTATTTTGGGGATGGATCCCAAATTTGCCAGACCAGACTGGATGATTGTGACAGTTTTGCCTGTGCCACCATTGTCAGTGAGACCAGCTGTTGTCATGTTTGGAGCTGCAAAAAATCAAGATGACTTAACTCATAAACTTGCTGACATTATCAAGGCCAATAATGAATTGATGAGAAATGAACAGTTGGGAGCTGCCGCTCATGTCCTGGCTGAAAATATAAGACTGTTACAATTTCATGTAGCCACATTTGTTGACAATGATATGCCGGGCATGCCTAAGTTAGTAAAACTAAGTTCATAATTATGTGTTATTAGGTGTAGCCTCACAAGGATAGTGTAATAAATCTATATGATATAATTCTGTTAAACATTTTACATAAATGTAGGTCTCTTCATATAATTTTTTTTTCCTAGTCAGGCTATAATTTGTATAATCTTTGTGATGATTTTATTTTTTTTCAAAATGTGACACTACTTTTTTATTATTTCAGAGCAATGCAGAAATCAGGAAAACCTTTGAAAGCAATCAAAGCCCGGCTGAAGGGAAAAGAAGGGAGAATTAGAGGAAACCTTATGGGAAAACGTGTAGACTTCTCCGCTCGTACTGTAATTACACCCGATCCAAATTTACGTATTGACCAAGTAGGAGTACCAAGGTCAATTGCACAAAATTTAACATTTCCAGAGCTTGTCACCCCATTTAATATTGACAGAATGCAAGAGTTGGTCAGAAGAGGAAATGCTCAATATCCCGGGGCTAAATATATCGTACGCGACAATGGAGAAAGAATCGATCTTCGATTCCATCCTAAACCATCAGATCTTCATCTGCAGTATGGATACAAGGTTGAGAGACATCTAAGAGATGATGATTTGGTTATATTCAACCGGCAGCCTACCCTCCACAAGATGAGTATGATGGGTCACAGGGTGAAAGTTCTGCCTTGGTCAACATTCCGTATGAATTTGAGTTGTACATCTCCTTACAATGCTGATTTTGATGGAGATGAAATGAATTTACATGTCCCACAGTCTATGGAAACTCGTGCAGAAGTTGAAAATATTCATATTACACCTCGGCAAATTATTACACCGCAAGCCAATAAACCTGTTATGGGTATTGTACAAGATACTTTAACTGCTGTCAGAAAAATGACAAAAAGAGATGTGTTTCTTACTAAAGAGCAAGTCATGAATCTGCTTATGTTTTTGCCTACATGGGATGGTAAGATCCCACAGCCTTGTATTCTGAAACCACAACCATTGTGGACTGGTAAACAGATATTTACTTTAATCATTCCGGGAAATGTAAATATGATTAGAACACACTCAACCCATCCCGATGAAGAAGATGATGGACCATACAAATGGATATCACCGGGAGATACAAAAGTTGTTGTAGAGCATGGAGAATTGCTTATGGGTATCCTATGTAAGAAATCTTTGGGTGCTTCAGCAGGTTCCTTGCTTCACATTTGCATGTTGGAGTTAGGTCATGAAACTGCGGGCCGTTTTTATGGTAATATTCAGACAGTTATCAATAATTGGCTGTTACTGGAAGGCCATTCCATTGGTATTGGTGACACTATTGCTGATCCACAGACATACCAGGAAATTCAGCGAGCAATTGTAAAGGCCAAAGATGATGTCATAGAAGTTATACAAAAAGCACACAATATGGAACTGGAGCCAACTCCAGGTAACACTTTGAGACAGACCTTTGAGAATCAAGTAAATCGTATTCTAAACGACGCTCGTGACAAGACTGGTGGTTCCGCTAAGAAGTCACTTACAGAGTACAACAACCTTAAGGCCATGGTAGTCGCGGGCTCTAAAGGTTCAAATATTAACATATCTCAAGTTATTGCTTGTGTAGGTCAGCAAAACGTAGAGGGTAAACGTATACCATTTGGTTTTCGAAAGCGTACATTGCCACATTTTATTAAAGACGATTATGGTCCTGAATCTAGAGGGTTTGTAGAAAATTCTTATCTTGCCGGCTTGACGCCGTCGGAGTTTTATTTTCACGCTATGGGTGGTCGAGAAGGTCTTATTGATACAGCTGTAAAAACTGCTGAAACTGGATATATTCAACGTCGTTTGATAAAGGCTATGGAGTCCGTAATGGTACATTACGACGGAACTGTCCGTAACTCTGTCGGACAATTGATTCAGTTACGTTATGGCGAGGACGGACTGGCTGGAGAAACTGTAGAATTCCAAAATCTACCTACAGTAAAACTGTCTAACAAAGCCTTTGAAAAGAAATTCAAATTTGATCCATCTAACGAGAGATACCTTAAACGAATTTTCAATGAAGATATTATAAAAGAGTTGACTGAGTCTGGATATGTAATATCCGATCTTGAAAGTGAATGGGAGCAATTATCAAAGGACAGAGAAATATTGAGACAAATCTTCCCTAGCGGTGAATCAAAAGTTGTACTTCCGTGTAATTTCAAGAGAATGATTTGGAATGTGCAGAAGATTTTCCATATTAACAAAAGAATGCCAACCGATTTAAGTCCTATTAAGGTCATACAAGGAGTAAAAGACTTGTTGAAGAAATGTGTTATTGTAGCAGGGGAAGATCGCTTATCTAAGCAGGCTAATGAAAATGCGACACTTCTATTTCAATGTTTGGTGAGATCAACACTGTGCACAAAATTTGTATCGGAAGAATACCGTTTGTCTAGTGAAGCCTTTGAATGGCTAATTGGAGAAATTGAAACTCGGTTCCAGCAAGCTCAAGTAAATCCAGGAGAAATGGTCGGAGCTTTAGCTGCACAGTCACTTGGTGAACCTGCCACTCAGATGACACTGAACACTTTCCACTTTGCTGGTGTATCATCCAAAAACGTAACCCTTGGTGTACCGCGATTGAAGGAAATCATCAACATATCAAAGAAGCCAAAAGCGCCATCTCTAACCGTATTTTTGACAGGAGGTGCCGCCCGAGACGCTGAAAAAGCCAAGAATGTGCTTTGCAGATTAGAGCACACGACTTTACGAAAGGTCACAGCAAATACAGCAATCTACTATGATCCAGATCCACAGAACACTGTTATTGCTGAAGATCAAGAATTTGTTAATGTTTACTATGAGATGCCTGACTTCGATCCCACTAAGATTTCGCCTTGGCTATTGCGTATTGAATTGGATCGCAAGAGGATGACGGATAAGAAATTGACTATGGAACAGATTGCAGAAAAAATTAATGCTGGATTCGGAGATGATTTGAACTGTATATTTAACGACGATAATGCTGAGAAACTTGTATTGCGGATAAGAATTATGAATAATGAAGAGAGTAAATTCCAAGATAACGATGAAGAGACTGTGGACAAAATGGAAGATGATATGTTCCTACGTTGTATTGAGGCCAATATGTTGTCTGACATGACACTACAAGGCATAGAAGCGATAGCCAAAGTATACATGCATTTACCTCAGACTGAAGCCAAAAAACGAATCATTATCACAGAACAAGGCGAATTTAAGGCAATTGCTGAATGGTTACTGGAAACTGATGGTACTTCACTCATGAAAGTCCTTTCCGAAAGAGACGTAGATCCGATACGAACATTCTCTAACGACATTTGTGAAATATTCCAAGTGCTTGGCATTGAGGCTGTGAGAAAGTCAGTAGAAAAGGAAATGAATGCCGTGTTGCAGTTCTACGGCCTATACGTAAACTATCGCCATCTTGCTTTGCTTTGTGACGTGATGACAGCAAAGGGTCATCTCATGGCTATCACCCGTCATGGTATTAACAGACAAGACACTGGAGCCTTAATGAGATGTTCATTTGAAGAAACAGTAGACGTTTTACTAGACGCAGCCAGTCATGCTGAAGTGGATCCAATGAGGGGTGTATCAGAAAATATAATCATGGGACAGTTGCCGAGAATGGGGACAGGTGAGACTTTCTACATTGTCATAAATGTTATTGGCATCTTTGTTTTGGTGTTTTTCCATAATATAATTAGCGTTTAAGATAATTAGACTAAATCAGCAATTTTTTTAGGGTGTTTTGATCTACTACTTGATGCAGAGAAGTGTAAACATGGAATGGAAATGGGAGGTCTTGGAGTAGGCATGGGTGTTGGTGCAGGAATGTACTTTGGAGTTGGAACACCGTCTATGACACCGTTAATGACACCATGGTCTACTCAGAACACACCAGGTTATGGCAGTAGTGTATGGTCACCGGGTCAAGGTAAATATAGTTTTTATTTACCGAGAGTTGTATTTTTTTAAAAATGTCACGAAATCTAATGATGGTTTACTCTTTTACAGTTGGCAGTAGTATGACCCCTGGTGGACCGTCATTCTCGCCTTCGGGCGCCTCGGATGCTTCTGGTCTTTCACCAGCCTACAGTGCCTGGTCTTCGCAGCCGGGTTCACCAGGTTCACCTGGACCTCCGTTATCGCCCTATGCCTCCCCCGCGGGAGCTTCGCCGTCTTATTCTCCGACTAGTCCGGTTTACTCAGGAGCTTCTCCTATACAGTCTAACCCTACATCTCCGCATTACTCACCGACCAGTCCTTCATATTCCCCGACCTCGCCACACTACTCGCCGACGTCACCAATTTACTCTCCGACTTCTCCAAGTTATTCGCCAACATCTCCAGGTTACTCACCAACGTCGCCTTCGTATTCGCCGACGTCACCAAGCTACTCCCCTACTTCGCCGAGTTATTCCCCTACCAGTCCGGCATATTCGCCTACTTCGCCCAGCTACTCCCCTACTTCGCCTAGTTACTCGCCAACGAGTCCGTCGTATTCACCAACAAGTCCATCATACTCACCGACAAGCCCAGGGTATTCGCCGACGTCGCCGGGATATTCGCCATCTTCTCCAAGCTATTCGCCTACCAGTCCAGTTTACAGTCCGACTTCACCTAGTTATTCACCATCATCACCAAATTATACACCAACCTGTCCTGCCTATTCTCCATCGAGTCCGTCATATTCTCCGACATCTCCAGCTTATTCACCATCTTCTCCAAAATACTCACCGTCGTCGCCACAATACTCGCCGACATCTCAGAATTATTCGCCGACTTCACCGTCCCTTGCCGGAGGAAGCCCCACATATTCACCAACAAGCCCACAGTATTCTCCAACGAGTCATCATTATTCACCAACCAGCCCGGCGTATTCGCATTCGTCTCCTCAACACCCGTCGAGTACACCTTATTCCCCGTCATCGCCTAATTATTCTCCTTCTTCACCTAATTACTCGCCATCTTCTCCGGGCTATTCGCCTTCTTCTACCAAGTATTCACCAACATCGACGACATACACTCCGACGTCTCCGAACTACTCGCCGACCTCCCGCGTGCACTCCCCGGCCTCAGGCGGGGGAACCACCACCTACTCCCCAACTTCACCTACATATTCTCCTAACTCTCCATCGTATGACGGCGGCGATGACTAATTTTGCATATATTCAATTTGCAACTATTATAGAATTAGTGAAAATATTGAAAACATCTCTTCTGCAGTATTTTAAGAGATGGACCATAGAGGTCACCAAAAATATTATTTTTAGTTTCATAAGTTACTTTAAAGTAAGGATTAACTTTTAATGAATGTAGTTTGGTTTATAATTTTTGGGTTAAAATTACTATTTAAATTAATCGACATTTCTATAATAAAATTGTTTACTAGTACCACTTATTTGATTTATTATGATAATGATTTAGCCTAACACCTTTATGGCAAAATAATAGCAAGAAGTGAAAAATTGTGCAAATATTATTGTAGTAGTAAGAATTTTTTATACAAATAGTGCAAAGAAAAAACATTACAGTAGATACGGTTTTCTGAATGCAATTTTATTATTTAATAACCAATATTATAAAGTTACGCCAGTAATTTATCACTATTATGTACGATATCTTTATGTTGCATTATCGAAAACTATAAGTTAGTAAGTTTTAATTAGAAGTTTGTTAAGCAAACATTAATGTAATTAAAATTGGATTGACATAAATAAAAACTGAAAACCCAAATATGGAGGTTTTATTTCCAGTATTTTATTTCCAGTTTGAGCGTCGGTGGCTCAGTGGTTTAAGCACTTGACTTGTAATCTACAGGTCTTGGGTTCGAATCCCACCGCCATGTATCAATGTGATTTTCGATTTTTCGAATTTCCATATGTACATAATTTACCCGACGTTCTTACGGTGAAGGAAAACATCGTGATGCAACCAGCACATATCGGCGAAGAAATTCGAAGATATGTGAGAAGTCAACCAACCCGCACTGGGCCAGCGTGGTTGACTATGGCCTAGTCACCTCATATTAGGGTAGGCTCCGAGCCCCTCGGTGACTCGTGACCTCGGGACCTCGGGACTTATGGTGAGCTGGTGACGATGATGATGATTTCCAGTATACCGTGCATGCATACATACAGCAAATGAGTAGTTTAATTCGAAGTAATTTATATTGAGATGAAGCATGTTTTATTACTATACTCGGTTGTTTTTTTAAATAATAAGACGTTTTGTACATATTTTATTTATTAGTTAAGAAATACAGTTCCAAGTAGAAACTACCGTACATGTTTTATAACACAATTTTATTATCTCGGAAGATCTTGTTGGAAGATTTTTCTGACTTCTAATCTCAAAAAAAATTTAATAACTTGTGCTTGGTTTAAACAAGGAAATCCTATAGTTTTAATGTACAGATTACAAACAAATAAAAACAATGCTTTCTGTTAGCTATCTGCTATTTAAATTAGGTGACTTCGTATACTGTGAACGACATATGATATGAACTAACATTTTAAAAATAAATTTACATAAATTAAAAAAAAAATACTGTCTGATTACTGAATATGACATAAAACAATTGTATATTTGTCGCAATAAATTACCTATAAATAAATTTAACAACAGTTATAGCCAATAAAGTATTTAGTATTTACACTTTACCTACTAAGCCGTTTTATGTATTTAAAAAGTGCTTAATCGACTTACATTAAACATTTATAGGTAATTAACTAATCTGCTTTTGTAAACTCCGAACACAGCCATTTTATTTTCTATTATTTATGTTAATAATTATTAAATACTACAATACGTGTAACATACAAACTAAGATAATACTGAATGATTTACCTAATTACTTAAATTGTTATTCCGGTAAAAATGTTCCAAATAAAACACTATTGGACCACACATAAATTAAACTGGGTTCTTAGACGTTGTCCAAGTAAACATTTCTTATAACGTCGCCATTGTATTATGAATTTATTGTTTAAAATCACGATATCAAGTCCATGTTACAAGAAATAACTATTATTTATGGAGAGAATCGAATACCACAAAGGGCATCGACTTCACGTATCAAGTAGAAACGGCTAGTCTAGAAAATAAATAAAAAGGGTATAACAGTAACGTTAAAACAAAACATGTTAAAAAGTATTCAAGCTCTAGAGCTTGCGACTTTTTTTTCTTTTTATAAGAGAAGGGGGCAAACGAGCGGCGGGCACACAGAGGTGGTCAACGACGCCCGTGGACATCCGCAACACCAGAGGAACTACAGATGCGCTGCCGACCGCCGCTATAAATAATTTTATATCTAAGTGTAAAAGTTGGAAGCCTAAATACGATGTTTTATTTTTTCATGTATTACTAGGTCTAATATTTTAGTTGATGTTTATTTTCCTCTATATATTTCAATGATACGATCTTGATCGACGTATTCAAATATGTGCGGAGCGTCCATTAGGATTCCTATCGTGCCCGCTGTTGTCACTATGAAGAAAATGTACAGCTGTAGTCTGTCGATCACCATTGCCACGTACTTCCAATCTTCGCGTGTCTGAAATATGTACATATATCTTAATATCAATTCATTTGCAAATGATCAATTATAAACCGAATAAGTTTTTGCTAAATTAAATAATAGGAAAATCCTTACCTGAATGTACAGATCCTCGTTCCGCAGATGTTCTGCTATAAATTCAACTGCCTCAGTTGCTTTGGCCGCTTCAGGTGACAGCAGTAAGGAGTCGGAGCTCTCCGACTCTCTCCTCTCGCCGAGGCCGAGGCCGCCCAGCGCGCCGAGTCCGCCGAGCGCGCCCACCTCCCCGCCGCCCGCCGCGCGGTTTATCTTGCAGTTCGGATGATGAAGATCAGACAACTCCATCGCCTCCATTTTGCTTTGTTTCGATCCAATTGCGCTGTCGAATTAGTTTCCTAAGTTCATTTTATAAATGCAAGAAACTAAAACCACGAAATTTGACTGATTACCAAAGTACGAAAATAAATCGAGCAATAAATTTTCACACACAACATTAACAACATTCGAAATTAACGAGACGGAATAATTTAAGCCATTAGAATTTGCTATTTCCCCCAACCTTCCATATTATAGACACGTTGTAGAATTATTAATATGACTTAAAATGCATTACCTAATATGTTTGGGTAGGTCGTGCGGCGCGGCGGCGTGCGGCGGCGCGCCCATGCCCGGCATCTCCATCATCCACCGGAGTCGAGTCTTACGCGGGCGACGCATGAGCAGCGCAGTAGGCAAGTAGTGTAGGAATACGCTTCGTATCCAAAGAGGCATCCTGTTAAATACATATATTGTACATATTAACAAAGCAAATATGTTCCAGTTTTCTTATGAACTGGTTAGTTATTGCTTTTCAAAGAATATTTTGAAAATGAAACCTGTGCGTCCTAGGTCCTCGGAAGTTCCAGTTTATGATGATAACTGTAACGAGGATACTGACAGTGTTCATGATGAATGTGAACAGCAAGTATTTAGCGATGAGCGGCAGCACGAGCGACGTTGGCGGCAGGATTTTTGACACGAGCAGTAAAAACACGACCAGTGACAGTAAAATGCTAATACCCAATGTAACCTGTAACAAATGTATTTTAAATTAAACATTTCATTAGACCAACATAAACAATAACATTAAATTTCTAGTGAATTTTCAATTATTACCTTTTCCCCAGCCTCAGCTGGTAGGTAAAAAACTAAAACACATAGGAACGATATAAGTACGGTTGGCAAGATCAAGTTAACGGTATAGAATAAAGTCTTTCTTCGTATTATGATGTAAAAAGTAATATCGGTCTCAGTAGGATGGTTGCCTTCGTAAATGTTTAGGTACGCTGGTACTTCTATAATGTCCCACGTCCCTGACTTCCAGTAGTCGGACAAGTCGACAAAGTTCTTGTTATTGTAGAGCGCTAGCGAAACTTGGTCGCCATTGAAAGTCCACGAGCCGAACTTCATAATGCACGTTTGTTGATCAAAGGGAAAGTAGGTTACGTCGATAGTGCACGAACTCTGGAAAGATAAGTTAATTTTTTATATAAACAAAGTACAAGTCCATTTAACCTACATTGTTGACGGGGAAAGAAACTTTAGTGCGGGCGCACATCTTTGATTAAACTATAGCACAACTGTTATGCGATTGTCGATTGTTTTGCTGCCCAATCAACTAGTTGAACAACTAAAAGTCTAGTAGTGTGCGCACCTTCGTATAAGCTCATAGAAATTCAAAGCGAGACTAAAGAGCTGTGCCTTAGTGTCGTTTCAAGTGTGCGCGCTCTCTTATGGTAAAAAACTCAAATTTATCCTAAACTTTAGATTTAAAAAGGAGGACTCTTTAATACTTATTTGTTATTAACCTTGTTTTATGAATGTAAGTACCTGATAAATAGCCGGTGGCACCCAGAGGACCTCCCCGTTCGGATAAATAAGAACGTTAGATTTGTACCGCACTTCGTAGTTACCATCAGCGCTGTTAACAAATTATTTCAACATGATTACATACAATAAAGACATGCGTGTCTCAGATCCGGAAGATTTCAGAAGTTTAATCCAAAGAAAAATTTCATATGCTTTAGTGACTACTGACTTCCTGGAACCGAGAATATATAAAGACTGCTCATCGGCAGTATATTGTTGCCAATATCTTACTTGTTGAATAACACGATATCCGGTTTCCACACTTTGTCCGGTGGCAGACGCAGGACGCCAATGCCGCCGTAGTCGGCCTCGTCCCACATCAGTTGGTAGTCCATCCACACCAGTCGCAGCCACACGTTCGATTTCATGATTTGATTTTTCTCGTTCTGGAATCGATTATAATAAAAATGCAATACTTCTTTACTCATCTCTATAACCTCCATTTTTCTTCTTATCCTTTAATTAGATGTCAAAAGTACAAAATTACCGATGTTATTTAACCTTTAAGTTTGCGTACAAGTCGTGGTTAATAACTTATTTTAGTTTGTACTATCACATTAAAGAACTATAATATTAAAAAGAAGATACTTTTATTTCAAACATGTACTTACAACATTGATAAGCTGTACGAATGCCAGTCCAAAGCGCACGTCCACTTTCTGTGTCATATTTTGCACTGGGCGGATGAGTTTGTTGTAGCCACGGAATAGATCTCTCACCAAACGCTCTTCGTCTTCGGAACACCATCCTGCCAGAAGAAATACACTTACTAAACATCAATTAAAATGTTTATTTAATCATTAATATCTATATATTTCTTTAAAATGTCTGTTCTTAACAAAAAAAATCTCGAATCTTTCATTTGCTATGAGAAAATTGCCAACTAACGTATAGGCGTTATCGAGATGTTATACATCGAGATTGATCTGATGCTGTTCGGGACAGATCAATAAGAGCAAGCGAGATAAAATCTCCACGATATTCATATAGAATTTTACACTTCAGAAGGCTGTTACAATATTGGACCTTGTTAAAGTGATGGACTATAAAATTTGACATATTAAGCTTTACTTATTTCAAATATATTTAATAAAAATGTATAAGTCGGTAGGAGAAGTACGTTTGTTTTATAAATGTTTAAATTTAATTTAATTGTAATGGCACTTTTAACATTAAAGCCAATTGGGTGGTAGAAATCTAAGCTAAGGTTTTAAATATCGTTTTTTACCTGAATACAGTATGGCGAGCAGGGCTGTAACCAGCAAGGGCCCGCGCGAGCCGGCCCTCATGGCGGCTTAGCGGCGCGCACTGACGCACTCGCCGCGTCCCGCCTTCCCACGGGCGCTGACAAACTGCAGGGGCGCACTTAAAATTTTGGAATGAAGAATATTGTAATTCAGAAAATTTCAACTGTTTCGTTTCATTGAAAAGATAGTATTTTTCTAAGTAACGTATTCGAGAAAACAAAATAATAGTGTGGTTTTATTCTCGTTTTACTTTCTTGTTTAGCATTTTTAAGCATTTTTTAAGATTCAAGCAATGCTATCAAAGTATCCTTTTACTACATTTACATAAAATGATACAAATAAAGAGACGATTTATACCTACATTTTTTGAATAGTTAACTTATATCTGTAACTACTTTTAATTATTAAATTTAAATATTATAATTTCGAATTACTTGGGTTTTATTTGTTAATGTCATATTTGCAAAACATTTATGTAAAACAAGAAGCCAATTTTTATGATAGGTCCAACTCTGGTTCATCTCAAGATGTCTGCCATAAGTTTTACCAATTACTAGCTTTCGTCTGCGACCCCGTCTACATGTAATTAAAAATAAGAAAGCTAAGTAGGCTGTGCGTTCTTTCAGACAATTCTCTACATCTATGTCATTTCACTGAGATCCATTGGGCAGTTTAGGCTACAAACTCTAACAAACACACAATCTTAACTTTTGCATTTACAATATTAGTAAGATAAGATTATGATTATTAATTAAAAGTCTGCAACAGAATTAACTGTCGCAGGCTTGGTCCGTGCGACTGCCAGCACCACGACTACGCACAATACAGGTGCGAAATAGTTCCGCGTTTCATTTGATGAGTGGCGGAGGACTTGAGAGAAAACTATGGAAAGTGGACGTGAATTTGGCAGGTTAGAAATACGTATTTATTCGGATTAATCAGTGATTGTCATGTAATTTAATTCCATTTACTATTATTAAATAAATATATTCTTTCGAAGAAGCTCTGACTTTAATTCTGATTTATATAGGGCAAATGTAAATTATCGTCATTTGCTATGGATTAGTCCATTATATACTTACAGTCGATAGATTTTTGACTTTCTGAGTCTCGTTTAACGGTAGAGTGACTATCATATATTTTATTAAAAGGAAAAAGTTAAATTAATGAAGACCATTATTTCTCTCAAGTCAAAAAGGCGTTGTTAATTAAATTACAGATTATTTAATCATATAATATAGGACAACTACGAAATTTAATATTGGATACCATCGTTGTGTAAAACGATGGGGTGGAATGCTTCGCGCAGTACTCGGGATACATTTTAACTAAACAATGTTTTGATTGTGTCGAGTTCGTAGCGCGCATGTGCAGGCTATCCCTCGGGATAGCATCGATTGTCTTCAGCCAGGCTGACTGCGTATAACCGTCTCCCTGGGAATATAGGTCACCTTCAATATTGAAAATATATGCGGCGTTACCATGCGGCGGGCTCCAAATTAAACAAAACAATTTTCATTCGTTTATATTTATTAAACAAAGTGCAATTCAGAGTATTAACCCTAACAATTGAACAAATTATGAGGACGAACGATTCGTCCTAACTTAGACGGTAACAAAGCAAATTTCACTATCCAATAGTAGATAGTTGTATCCTTTGCGATCTACATTCGCTTAGTTTACCGTCCGATAAGTCACACAACCGTTTTATAGGTTGACAACTCAATGTATAACAACAATAAAAATCGGGATAACAGAAAACACCGGGCCAAGAATCATAGACGCTCCCCGCAACTTCCAAAAGGAACGCCTACGACTATTTAATAGCACGGCCTCGAAAGAACAAAACGCTTCGCAGGAGATGCGTAGGTACATTTGTCAGTTTATATCCACGCAGTTCCTAGCTATTGCTTGCGTTTTATTCTTAAGAGGCTAACAATGTTTTCAACAACAATAAAATTATTCACTTCAAGGTTTTGGATGAACTAAAGTAAAGATGTATCATGATATAGATTTAGGTATATGGAAAGGATTATATGAGCGGTTAGTTAGTGATGAAATGTAATAAGAATAATATTGATCGGTTGTTAAAATATACATCGAGGACAGCAATAATGATGATCAACAAAACATGGCGATGAATGTAAAGAAAAACTGAATACATGTCCAAATCCTTATATCAAAAAGTATTATAATATAATCAATCAAGTTTCGATAGAGGAGAAATTCCGTAAACGCTAACATTATATCAGCAATATGAAAGAAGTCGGTACAAACGAGATATCACCATGTAATGTATTTATTTGTATAAGTCGTTCCGAAAGACCCGGGTATGATTTTAATAAAATAATACTTTGTTTAACTACAAGTTTTAACGAACGTTTTATTAAGCTATTAGCCTGGATATTTGACCATTTTATAACAATATCGACCCGTTTACAACGAGGCGTATCACAACCTGTACCAATTGAATTAACATTGTTTGTAAACCTCTATACTAACTACGGACACAAATATATCCGAAAATAAACTTAAGGATTACGACCACGATTCACGGAATCGAACGAGAAGAAAACACGGGCCCTCACATCACTGCCCGGAAACGAATCCTAAACTGTACATACAAATTTACGAATTCAAGAAAGATTTAACAAAGTTTTAAATTTTAAATTCAACAGGTCGTTCAACGGTAAGAAGGAAGACGTTTTTTGTGCTCATATTGATGAACCGGCCGCAGACAAAAGTGCTGCTGCGGTCGTTCGACTCGGCGCGGCGACTATTCTAGCGTGGAGTTCTACAAGCGCCTGGGACTTTACTGCCTCTTTATACTATTTTATATTCACTCGGGAACCGAACGTCTACTCGGAACCACTCATCGTAGGATTGCTGGCTCTCGGTATAACTTGTGTTTGGGATATCTTTAGAACAACACTTTGCATGCTCATTTACTTTCGGATCTACGCTCATGTTTGTTTAAAAATTTAAGGACATCAGTAGGGTAGGCAGTAGTCGATTGAGCGCATAGGGATGGCAGTCAGCGGTAACTTATAACTATAGGGTGGCGCGGTCGCGGAGGCGGGCGACGTCTGCTTGGAGGTCGTGGCGTCTGCGACCGCGCCCCATCGCACATCACAACTTAACACGTATTACGGTATCACAGAACGTTACGCGCGCGCAGTCGCAGGTGGGCGGCTCGCTACGACACCATGATGTGTGGCGCGGACAGCAGCACGGCGAGCGTGGCGATGATTGTGAACAGGGTAAAGATAATAAGGCACAGTCTGTCCACGACCATGGCGGCAAACTTCCAGTCCCGCGATATGTCCGCGTCTTCGTCATCTTTGCGCATCTACAACAACATTTTTTTGAGTTAAAAATAGACCATAATATACCTAATATTATAACATACCTTTTTAAAAGAAGTAAGAATAAATTTTATACTTGATCTGTGATGACTCGGATCTCTTTAAGAATCAGCGAGAGTTCGTAGTCGACACCGAAGCAGCTGTGTGCCGCAAGACCTGCGCCATTCTCTTCGCCACCCCTGCAATAGACGAGACCCTAGAGCTATCTGTGTAACCTGCATTCTATCCTACAGGG